TAATAAAGACAATTTTCTTTTTATAAAAAATAAAATAAAAAATAATTTAGTTTATATTATATACACGGATAATAACAAAAAGAAAATTTATAAAAATAAAAAGGAAGACAAATATTTTTTAATGCTCCGTTCTTATTAGAGCAACCCCATTAGGGGATTGTGGACCAAATTTTGAGGAGAAAAGTGTGAGGTGGAGGCCGGAGAGAGATGAAAGAGAGAGACAGTGTATAAGGGTGTTGCAGGATGTTGGGTTCTTTGTTCCCTTGTGTGGACCCCATAAAGGAAAGAATACAGCAAAAAAATGTGCGTGCCGCACATTTGCGCCTAGTCGGGCGCCTGCAGTTAAGAGGCTATAATTTTAAAAAAGAAAATTGGGATTTTACTGACATTTTGTTATTTTTTTTTAAATCTTTCACCCATTTTCTCTTTTCTAATTACACCTAAAAAACTCTTCAAAAATCACATCAAAACCTCCACTATAGAGGATGCCCTTACAAATAAAGGAATACTATTTGCTTTGATTTCATAAATTTTATATTTAATTATAGTAATTTTGCCCCTAGCCCCCTAGATTATTATTATTGTTGTTATTATGTTATTTTGGGGTTTCTAGACTATGATGACAAGGTGGTTGAATGGGTTGGGAATGAATGCGGTGGGGCGTCTATTGAAAGGGGTAGTGCCTTTTTGGGGACATTATCAAATCATGATGTTCTAAGAGATGGGCATGGTGTAATGGACTTGGGATTAAGCATAAATAAGAAACAAATTGGGTAAGGGAAGAAGAGTTTGGGGAGAACATCAAGGAAGAAGAATAACAAGGTATAAGCAAAATTAAGTTTTATTCATTCAAAATCTAGATGCCTTCAACAAAGACTCTAGTTCTTATTGATAAGAAGGAAATACAAAAAAAAAAAAAAAAAATAAAATAAATAAATAATAGTTGTAATAAGTAATTATAACAACTGAATTACATTTTCAGCTCCTTTATTTTTATAATTGGTTGCGGTCCATTACACATGTCGTATGCTATACAAGTAATCAAATATTAAATAATGCACACTTATCAATTGATTTGAGAATTGGCTTGATAATTATAGAATTTTAAGTTAAATTGGTTTAGTAATTGATTTTGTATCACAAGATTTTAAGTTATTTAATTAGCTATGAATAACATAGGTTGATTTACGTCATAAATGTTGTTTACCATTGTAGTTATAATATGAGTTTTGTTTGGACATTTTTAAATCCAAGAAGAGATTGAGAATGTAAAAGAAACATTCGACAGTACCATCAGACAATAATCACTAAAAATGAATTGAAAGAACGTCAATCTATCCAAAGCTCCGATCGAGAAGCAAGAAAATTTACAACCTTATTCTTGAACTTGATGAATCACTATGATTTAACTCATTCAGAATTCATATCATATCGAACTGGAGTGTGGGAGCTCGAGGCGAGAGATTTTACTTTTTGCACTCAAAGAATGTTTAGGAAATTGAACGGCCCAATTGAATGCAAGGGGCGGCCCATTACGTAGCCGAATAGGCCCACATCAAAATTTTAATATTAAAATGTACAAACGAAACCCGAAATTAGGGTTTTTGGGTTCTACTTACCAGCAAGCGTTGTAACTGATTTTTGCTCTGTACAGAACGAACATCTATGGCGGAGCAGACACCCGAAGTCCCCGATACAGTTGCAGAGAAAGCCTCATCCGAGAACATGGATGTCGAAACGAACTCTCCAGAGGACTTGGCGGCTGAGAACGGCGGCGCCGCGAAGCGGCCTAGGGAGGAGGGCGATGAGCCGGATAATGATGACAACGGTGATGCGTCGAAGAAGACGAAGGTCCAGAATCCCGAGGAAGAGCAAAAAGTTGAAACTTTGGAAGGAAAAGAAAGTGCTGCGGAAGGAGAGAAGAAAGAGGATAAATCGGGTCCAGTCACCTTGGGTCCGAAGACATTCGTGTCATCGGTTGAGATGTTTGATTATTTCTATAAGCTTCTTCATTCCTGGTCTACCAATCTCAATGTTAACAAGGTAGGAAAATTTTCAATTTTTTTAAAAGTTAATTAGTATACTGATTTCTCCTTGCTGTTTATCAAAGGAACATGATTAATCGGATTATTTGCAGAGAATGTGATAAATGCCGGTGTATCTTTTTAGTGTTCATCTAGTTCATGTAAAGGCTACTAATAATCAGACTATTGTCTGTATATAAAATATGTCAATGCTGGAGACTGATTTGTCCTGTAGCTGATCAAAGTGATTTAAAGTAATCTGATTGTTTATAGATATTGTCTTTCAAGATGCTAACAGATTTGTTCTTTAGGCTGTTTGCTAGCACATGTGATTTGATAAGCCTCCTCCAGTCTCCTGTGAGGAATGTGTTCTAATACTCCTAATTAAAAGGAAAGGAATCAAATTGCAACATAGTTTGGTCTGTATGGAATTATGGTCTCTCTTGTATGTTTATGAGAATGTCTTTCACTCATCTTTTGAAGTCATTTAGTAGGAAGTGAACTGATGATCCTTAAAATTGTTACCTTATGTGTAAAGAACTAAGAAGAACCTTTCTGTGAATTTGCTACCCTGTGGTGAGGAGGAAGATTGAACCATTTGAAGTGTTAGTGCTTGTTTTGGAGTGAAGATGATTGGAAAAGGCTACAAGATTGCTTTTGTTTTAATACTTTGATGTTAGTCTCAGTGTTTATACTTCTCGACTTATGTATGTGTATGAAATATTGGTTGCAGTATGAACACCTGGTGTTGCTGGAGTTGCTAAACAAGGGCCATCCAGAGCCGGAGAAGAAGATAGGCAAAGGAGTCGGTGGATTTCAAGTTCGGTTCCACCCAAAGTACAAAAGTCGCTGCTTCTTCATCACAGGGGAAGACGGTTCTTCAGATGATTTTAGCTTCAGGAAGTGCGTGGACAACATTCTTCCCCTCCCGGAGAACATGCCAATAAAACACGATACGTATAGGGGCGAGCGTGGTGGCAGAGGAGGAGGAAGATGGGGTGGCCGTGGTCGTGGGCATGGCAGAGGAAGGTTCAGAAACTGAATGGTCTGCTCTTTCCCTGGACATGAAGGGCATATCATTTGCAGAAGAAAACTTTATACTTCCTAGTATCTATAAGTTCACGTAGCATGAGTTATTATTACCATTGTGCACTTTTTTTGTCTAGTCGAATCTCGATCGAATTTATCATTGAATGCAACTTTGTTTTTGCTAGAAAGCCTATAAATCAGCTTTTATTGTTTATGTCTCCACTAAATGATACACAATTCTCAAGTTCACACACCCATGATTTTATTTAATGTTTAATGTCAATTGCAAAAGTAAAAACGCTTATAAAAAATTACAAATATAATTGGGTAACATATTTTATGGAGTTAATACCCAAAATGTTCTTTGATTATAATAATTTTTTTCAATTTTGTCCGAAATGGTCCCGACTTTGGTGACCTAATGTACTCTCAACTTTTGTATTTGTGCTCAATTTAATCTTTCATTTGTTATTCCATCAATTTAGTGTTAATTAAATAGAGGAATAATTCAGTAATTTTAATATTGGTATCTTAACCCTATTTCTTTTATGAATTACTCCCAGACCTACGAATAAAAGGGATTTCACACTCATATTGAGATTACCGAATTGTTGCTCTATTTAACACCATTTTGACGGAACAACACAGAACAAAACAAAAGTCTAAGACTACATTAGGTCATCAAAATTATTTAGGATGAAATTGAAAAATTGAACTCTATTAATTAAGTCTATTTTATGAGTACAATTTCAGCACATTTCTATATATATATATATATATATATATATATATATATATATATATATATACACACGCATGCACGGGGAACGTAACCCAATGCAGAAGATCGATTGAGACGGCGGCTCACGATTTTTAAAACGTAATAAGTTTCCATATCCATAATTACATTCACATTAATCATTTCCACTTTCAGTCCTCAAGTGGTTTATCTTCTCCAATATATACATAGTCCCATGCATTACCTGCAGACACAAACCCATTGCTACACTCCATCAAGAAGACTATTATCCCTTCCATCTTCAAGTTCATTCTATGATATATAATGTCTTCTTCAAATATGGGAACCCATCCTTTCAGTCTTGAGAAACATTGGTCAGGTTTTGGACCTGCTGAAAACAATGTCATCTCTCATTCTCTCTTCCCATTCCACCTCCTCCTCCTTCTCAATCTAATGGTGGCCATTTCAGGTTATGTGAATGCATGCGTTCATAATAGTGGATGTGCATTTTTTTTTTTCTTTGATTTATTGATTGATAAAATGATTTTATTTCTAAATTCAGGTTATACTTGGAAGACTATGGCTGGGATCCTCAGTTCAGTGATTTCTGCATAGAAGATAACTCTTGTGACTCTTCATCTCTGATGGAAATGTTTTTGAATGATCCGTTGCTGTCAACGTTTGATATGGAACCTGAAATGCTAACCTTAACAACTCAAGGTAGTATTTTTTTTTTTTTTACCAGAAATTTGAGTTTCTTGAAAAGATATTTTGAATTTGAGACCTGTAAATGAAGAAGTATATGCATTGTATGTATTTGGAAGAGCTCCTTGATATGAGGTTTGATTGAGTAGCAAAAAGAATGTAAGTCTAAAAATGTTGTGTTTCAATGCAGGAGATGATAATGGTGGGGCTGGGAATGAATGGGTGAGTTCTGGTTTTAGTATTGGTGATGGTCAGATTCAAACATATCAGAATCCCTTTCTGGGGAGTGTGGAGAATGCAACTTCAAGCCATGATAATGGGATATTCACAGGTGCTGAGAATGAATGGGCCGGGAGTTATGATTTTAGTATTGGTGATGGGCAGATTCAAACATATCAGAATCATCACTTTGTGGGGAGTGTGGAAACTGCAGTTTCAAGCCATGATGATGATAATGGAGGGGAAAGCTTGGGAAGAATGAAGTCTAAAAATGACAATGGTGGTGGGTGCAAAAGTGCATTAATGTTGTCCAAAAAAACCATCTCCAACTACTTCTACATGCCCATAAACCAAGCAGCAAAGGAGCTCAACGTAGGCTTAACCCAGTTGAAGAAGAGATGCCGGATGTTGGGAATCCGGCGGTGGCCTCACCGGAAGTTGAACAGTCTTCAAACCTTAATCAACAACGTCCAGGTACTTTTACCCATATATCATTAAAAGCATAATTTTCTTTTTTTTTTCTGTGGTGTTAAATTATAAGTTTTGGTGTTATAGAAAATTGGAAACAGTGAAGGTGTGGTGATGGCTAGAGAGGCTATAGAATTGCTGGAGAGGGAGAACAAGCAGGTGGAAGAAATTCCAGATGTGGAGCTTGAAGACACAACCAAAAGGTTAAGGCAAGCTTGTTTCAAGGCTAATTACAAAAAACGAAGGCTCTTGGAAATCCAACAATCCTTCTTAGTTCAACAACGTTAGAAGATTAGATGTGATGCAATATAATCCATGATTTGTAGTGAAGATTAACATTTCTTTTGGTGTAATGACTGGATTTCTGTGTTGGACTATCTAAGAAGCTTCACACTTCTGGCAATACTAATTTAGTCTAAAAATATGAGTAGAAAAGAAGCAAGATCAAAAGAAGCATATATGATAGTTCAGAAAAAAGAAACATATATAAGAGTGCCAAAACAGGTTATATGAGGAGGATGTATTATTGTACAACATTAGTATTATCTGTTTCTCCACAATCTGCATTTCCAGCACAAGAAATGCGTTCATCTTCTTCTCCTACAAAACTGAAAGTGCTGATGCAATCCCGCAAATTTCTTATTCCAATTGATACTCGAGGGCTATAGTGAATTCTAAGCAGCCACTGGCTGTTTCTGGACAAAACCAATTCCCTTCTCAATGCTGGACTTCAGCTCTGGCTTTAGGGCTTCCAAGGCTGCTTGTTCATACTCGGTCAGTCCTTGAAGATCAGATGAGATCAATGCCTCGACGCCATTCCTTCCTAGTTTGACTCTTGATGCGAAGAATGGAAGCTCTGTGAGATCGGACTGGACGAAAGCACACTCGTACACATCACTGTCTCCGTCTAGAGCCCGGAGGGAGGACTCAACAAATCTTGCTGCTGCATAGGCCATGGAGAGTGTAGCAGAGCCTGCACCGGCCTTTGCCTCGACAACTTCTGTCCCTGCATTTTGGATCCTCACAGTCAGCTCCTGAATTTCTTCATCGGTGAAAGAGGTTGATGGCTTTGTTTTTGACAACAATGGCAAAATGGTAATTCCAGCATGGCCTCCAACAACAGGAACATCTACATCAATGAGCCTGAGGTTTTTCTTCTGAGCGACAAATGTGTTTGCTCTGACGACATCAAGGGTGGTAACACCAAAGAGTTTCTTGGGATCATACACTCCCTTTTGCTTCAGAACTTCTGCAGCAATTGGGACAGTAGAGTTGACAGGATTACTGATAATGTGGATGAAGGCATCGGGGCAGTTATCAGCAACAGCCTCAACCAAGTTCTTTACAATGTTGGCGTTTATATTGAACAGGTCATCACGTGTCATGCCTGGCTTCCTTGGAACACCAGCAGGTATGACAACCACATTGACATCTTTCAAACAGTTGGCTAATTCAGAAGCTCCAGTGAAATCTAACACCTGGGAGGGAGTGTTGCAGTGGCTAAGATCTGCTGCAACTCCCTTAACATTCGCTATATCATAAAGATGCAAATCTGAAACAAGCGGTGACATCTTGATCAGAAGAGCTAGTGGCTGCCCTATGCCTCCACCAGCCCCAAGAACAGCAACTTTGTATGATGCCTGAGGTTGAACACAGTTCAGTGATCTATGGCTTTCCTTTTGGGCCCTTAGAGTGAAGGATTGGCGAAGAGCTAAAGTGCTTTCCCTCCCGAAAAATGATGATGCTGATTCACACCTCACAGATGCCTCTGCCTTAAGGCCATTGAAGTTCCCAAGGCAAACCCTAGAGTTGAACTTCAAATTTAAAGCCTTAGATTGTGAGATTGAACTACCCTTGGGCCTAGCAGATGAGGTTGACCCAAAAGATAGAGCAGTAGTTGATGTTGCTGCCATTTCTCACCCTGCAAGGAGAGAATCAATTTCAACTTCTTTTGTTCATTCTTCCTTCTAAAATTATTACAAGCTACTTCTAAATTCACAGCAAAAAGTAGGCATGACACTAAATTTCCAACTAATCTTAACATTCATACCAAACTCAGGACCACAGATCGCATGGTTGAAGTGTGGACCAACACGGCAACACTATCATACAAGTTCAAATCGTATACCAAAACAAGCGGCAACTATATTTTTTATAGCAGAAATTGCCATTACGAAGGAACTAAAGAGATACGACTCAGCTAAGAGCATAATGAGTTAAAATTAAATCCAAAACTTAACGGAGATGGAAAACACGCGTATCCGCATCAAATCAAATTCCAAAAATGAAGAACAAACCATACAGTTTCACGATAAAACCTCCAGATCTAAAACTAATCAAAAGAACAAAACAATGAACAGAGCTGATATTCTGTAACATTTACCGGGAGTCGAAGCACGGAATTAAACGTGTGCAAAGAAGCAGAAAAGCGAAATTGAAGCAGTTTACCTTCTTAATGGAGCTGAGCGGGAAGGAGTTGATGAGTAAAATGAGGTGAATTGGTTGGAGAGCTCAGACACAGCGCTTTAGTTTCTCCGTCGAATGGCCTCCCTCGCTCAAATCCCCTGGCGGGCGATCGGCTGTTAGGTCAAAGCGTACGGTTGGCGAATCTACTCTCAAGATTCTTCGACAACGAGGCGAAAGACGTGGGCCGTCAGTTTCGGTGATTAGTTTGACGGCTAGGATTACGCTATATATGATGTTGACATCCTTTCCCCCGTGATTTAATACGCATGCGTTACGACAGTTACGTGAAAACAATGGGTTGTGCTCTTGGGCCCAATAGGCCCAATGGAAGCCCACCTAATAGTGTGACACAAATTATGCCGTGCAATCGTGTGCATTGCAAAAAGACGTCGTTTTGATTAAAAAATGAGGGATTGATGAACTTTGTATAACTACTATAATTTCTTAACAAAAATGAAGAGTCGAGGACGCACACCAAAAAACATTAGTTCAAATAGAAAAAATTTGGACTGCTTAAATACGAAATCAGAAGTTCAGAATTGTGTATATATATGCAATAATACTCAATTAAGACTCAATTGAATTCCAACTTTAGGTTCATCCATTAATGATTTATAAACAAGGCAATTCTTAGCCCTCAAATGTGCTTAAGGGGACACCAAAGTGAAGCACTCATAGGAAAATGCATACCACCTCACAATCCACTTCTACACTCCATTCAACATCCAAATTGCCCATAGATATTTACACTATTTTGGGGTTGGCAAATGGCAATTCCCCACCAACACAAACCACTAGTGAAAAGCAATTTTATGATATATTTCACAATTGACTAAAATTTTAATAAAAGATTCAAAATTTTTATTACTAAAAAAGTCAAAAATAAGAACAATTAAGAAAGAAAAAAAAAGCCATTATAATGTATGAAACAAACTTGGAATTTGCTTCCATAAAGCTAAGGCATAAACCATGCTTTCATTTACAACATTATATTGCAAATTAGCTTCTACTTGGCTTACTCGCATCTAATACTGAATTACTTTCTAAACCAACGAAAGCAACATACATTTCAGAAACCGAACAACGCTATTTGCTCACAGTTCTTTGTCTTAGAGCACATAACTCATCATTACGAAGAGTTTACAAAATAGCTGAAGTGCTGAACTAACTAGTAATGATTTGCGATATTTTAATATACCAATTTTCCCCTTTACATTCATAATGTATGATATTATACAACAAAGAAAATATGTTGTATAGAATACAAAACCCACATAAGAATAAGAAACTAACTAGTGGATGGATGATTATCATATAATCCACATTATAATTGTGCATGCATCATAAGATCAGACAGCCACAAATTAGCAGTCAAGGCAGGCTCTTGCTGGTGGTACCCATGGCGTGTGGCGATGATTAGCCCCAGAACCAGGATAATCATTCACCTCAACATCCATCCTTCTCATCACCATCATCATCTTTCCCTATTCATTTTCATATCAAAATACAAGAGATCAATTACAAGAAAGATTTAAGGATTGAAGAAACAAACATTAGAGTGATGAGAGGTACCTTGTGGGTAAAACTAGGTTCTTCATATTCTTGAGTCTGCAGATTTCTGGTTCCTATACAAATCAGAATCCATGATTATCAGTCATCTGAGAATTCATTAAGAACAATAATCAAAGGACTAATAATAGATTGAGGATTACTTGTAAGTGGGATGGCTGCAGCCATGGAAATCAGAAGGTGAGAAAAGCACAAGAAGATGAGTAGCAGATGAAGAGATGATGACGATGAAGTGGTAGCCATAGCTACAGAACAGTGTTCTTCTTCCTCTCCTCTCCCAGTTTGATCAATTGCTGGGTATTGGCTGATGAGACTTCTAGCTTGCTTAAAAAGAATGTTTGATAGTGGCATTCACTTTATACACATTTATAATGGGCACTGCACCATTACTATTAATCTATTATCACTACAGGAAAAGAAAATTTTGATTTTTGACAAACTTTTGTAAAGTTCGATCTGTTTTCTCTTTTTGGTGAAGGCAATCATGTCACTCTAAGTCAATATGGAAACCAAAAAAAAAATTTACTTTTTTTATACACACGCAATCCCCTTGACACTTTAATTAGCCCATTAAATTGATATATTTTCTTACATATTTTTCCAACTATTGGAAGTCAATCACCAATAGTTCGCTTACATTTTCTTTTCAAATTAATACAATTGGTTATATTTGCATAAATAAATAAATAAATAAAAGGGCTCATCACGGTCATCACCTTTGAGACTCCTAGCTTATTACTCATTAGAGTATCTCTAATGTTGAAAGAGTTGTTCGCCACTTTCCTACACTCCAACAAGGTGCACAACAAGCAATTTGTGGGGATATTGCCATACTTTTTTTTTTTTTGGAATAAGGTGGAACCTTGTCTCTCTCCCCTTCACATCATCGGCAAATTATGCTCTGGACCCGTGTCCACATTGAATTGTGGACACGGGCCCAAAACGACGTCGTTTTAAAAAAAAAACGCGTCATTTAGTTAAAAAAAAAAAAATTCGCGCGTGTTTTGCCGCGTTATTTTTTTTTTTGATTATGAATGTACAGTTATGCCGTTATGAATGTACAGTTATGCAATTATGAAATTATGAACACAGAGCTCTAACATTATGAACTTACAATTATGAACATATATAGTGATAAAATTATGACCATGGAGCTTTAAAATTGTGAATATAGAGCTTCGAAGATTATGAATGTACAGTTATAGAGTTATGAATCTACAGTTATGGAGTTATGAATCTACAGTTATGAGATTATGAATCTACAGTTATGGAATTATGAATGTACAGTTATTGATCGAATTATGAACAAAGAGCTCTAACATTATGAACTTACAATTATGAACATATAGTGATAAAATTATGAACATAGAGCTCTAAAATTGTGAACATAGAGCTTCGAAAATTATGAATGTACAATTATGGAGTTATGAATGTACAGTTATGACGTTATGAATGTACAGTTATAGAGTTATGAATGTACAGTTATAGAGTTATGAACGTACAGTTATGGAGTTATGAATGTATAGTTATTAACATATAGTAATAAAATTATGAACATATACTTCTATAACAAAGTGATCTGAAATTTAAAAAAAAAAAAAAAAAAAAAAAAAAAAAAAAAAAAAAAAAAAAGGAGATAACAGTGCCTAACGGCACTGTTACCCGTGTCCAGCAAGCATGCTGGACACGGGTCCAAGGCATAATGATTGCACATCATCTTTCTACCCACCTAAAGGACTCCCATATTAGAAATGTCCTTAAACAAAAATTGTTGCTTTTTGCAGAATGGAATTCAAGGTATCCTGTGAACTCACCCCTTAAGTTCATGAGGAGGTAAATCGAGCTTGACCAACTCACACCTGACTGGACACAGGAAGTCCAAGCCCAACCACGGTCCAACTTGGGCCCTGGGGAGCCCAACTATAGGTAGTTTGTGGTGGGGGTTCAAACCCCTAATCTACTATCAAAAGTGAGTCTTAAGTGTAACATCCTATCCACTAGACAATTGTCTGGGGACTACAAATCAGTGTTGTAAAAATTGTCCTAGGCGCTAAGCGCCCCTAGGCCAAAGTATTTCAACTCTATGCGACTTTTAGTTGGTTGGCCGACTAGGCGCCGAGTTAGGCACCTAACTCCGTCTAGTTGGCGCCTAACTAGACTGAGTCGGCACCCAACTCGGTCGAGTGGTAGTTTTTGTCCGCTCGGTTGCTCCTCTTCAATATTCCTCCAACCATGTATTCAACTAACCATCTAACATATGTAATTGACTAGTTTGTGGGCTTATGATAGTCTAACAACTCATAATCCTAAATGGGAAAAGTGAAGACGATATACTCGAATTACTCGACCGCCTGGGAGGCGCTAGGCACCCCCGGACACCCAGTTAGTGCCTAGCGCCTTCATAGGAATGTAGCAAAAAGTTGGCACTTGGCATGGACTTTTTGTAACTCTAAGTGGAAGAAATGATGGAAAGTATTAAAAGTCAAAATGGGTACAAAAAGATGGATACACACTTTGCAAGTTGAGTGTGATGAACCAAACAATGTTGCCTGCTACTTGTCACATTCTGATTTCATGGATATATTCAATACCATAGTGCTGCTCTCCCCACTAAACATGCTATCCTTCAAGTGCTGAAAATGGACACAAATATGCAGCAAATGCTCATATTTGATATGATTACATGAAAAGATTGGCATCTTTTGTAAATAAATAAAAAGAATTAACATCACATCAATCATTCTAATAGTTATATACTTATATATGTCACCCATAAATCAGCACCAAAATATGGAAGTCAATTCCCATAAGTTACTCTCAGCAGATTAAGGAGTTAAATCAGCATGAAAATGTGGAAGCCAATTCCCATAATAAGGTGAATTCGACAAATTGAGGAAGATAACAGACACTCAAATCCTCTCTCAATCACACCATCATGACAACAATGAGTACAAGATAGAATTTGCATTATAAATTTGTTGGTTAAATAGTGAATCATTGAATGTTACATCCCCCGGAATCTTGCCCGCGTTTGACATTGCCATATGATGTCAATTCGAGAAGGTCCATGTCCCGACCTGAGTCAATGAAAACGTCAACCTAGCGATACAAATAGTAATGGCAAAATGTCGGGCACAAAGCTGGGACTACCTGAAACTCGGCAGTAAGAGCTTTTTTGAATTAGTTCGGCTTTAGATACTTCTGTTCGGTTTCCCTTAGACCGATTCACTCTAGCCTGAAGCAAGAGAGCAGCATAGAACGAACAATTGACGTTTAACTTAGAATGGATATTCAGAAACAAAATTTGAATATGTACATAATGTCGCTTATAGATATACCTGTAAAACCTGACAATTTTCCAATGTGCTTTTTCCTCCCTGCAACATTTACAAAACACTGAACCCAATTTAAACCGTTCTAGAGCAGAACTTCTGGATGTTTTTTAGTCATCAGGACACAAACACAACCCATAACTAAGTTGTGACTTTGTTTGTTTCCCTCAATTAAAAGAGGACAGGAGTACAAGAAACACAAACTTTAAGAATAAGCAAGAACTATTAGGTCATGTATTTTATGAAATCTTAAGTCATCAGTTATGTCATAAACCTGTTACAGTTGCTTACAATGTTCTCATTTATCATCTCACAACCAAAATATGTTCATTTAAACATAATTATACTAATCTCACAAAGTTTCTCTATCCTAATTCGGATAGAAACCTCAAAGTCTTGCCATGGATAATCCTATATCAAATTATCAGTCATAACTCATAATACCCTCGGGCTAGCATATCTATCTTATTCTTGAACCCGAAAAAAATCATAATCCTCTAGTTTACTGTCTTTATAGTGCTAAAGGCATCTGTGAAGCCTTTTCCCTATAGCCCAAAATCCCAATAAAAGCCTCAGAAAGACATACCCTGTTTGGTAAAATAGTTAGCATATCAGCCAATTATGGCTTATTTGATCCCACTATTAATTGTTTGACTTAGTTAAAAAATCAATATAAGTGTTTGTTTAATTAGCTTTTTGTAACTCCAAAATGCTAAAATTCAAAAAGCTGCTCAAAGCAATTTTTTCAATTAGCATTTTGAGAAAAGAATTATACCAAACAACTATCAGCTAATTTACCAAACACCTTTCTACAATCATATAATGTTATCAACTAGTTATATCCTCTAATTAACCCAATCAGCTAACAGTTAGCTAATATGATCACATGAACTGTTTTTGTTGATAGGGAAAGTGCACATCAGATTCCTTTCTTCATCTCTTTGCTAAAGGCACCAAGCTAAGTATTTTCAGTTTGGAGTTTGGCAAATGACAATACTATGAACCTAAAAGTTAGAGATGCCATTTGATTATATGAATCTACAAAGCTCAACTGATGAACAAATTCAAACCACTCTCCCCAATTGAAGAACATGATACTCAAGCTGTATCCAGAATGCAAAATAAGAACTCACTTCTTTACAACCTTAAATTGCACAGATCACAAAGATTATAATACAATAACATAAAAATGAATACAAAACCACATAAAAAAATCAAAACTTTAAAACATTATCTCATAGACAAAAGAATAAATGATATCTGTATTGCAGTTGATGGTACCTTAGAGTAAGGAATGATATGGTCATAGTCATGGCAGAGACAGCCGGGGCAGCCTACCAGCTTCCTGAAAACGATGTTGCCCAAGGCGTCTCGACGCCAGCGGTCCGGGTCACGGCCCTTGACCTTATCGGCTTTATCCCAGCACTGTTGCTTCACACTGTATGGGAAGCTCCTCGGGTTCGGAGCTTCAAATTCGGATGAAATTTGGAGGTTCTCGAACAAAGACAGCTCTTCTGTAACCAACTCGCGGTCGATAACAGAGCCTGCCGCCGGCGTAGGAGAGAGCCGGCGACGATGGGTTGATCCGGATGGGCTATCGGGTCGGGTTCTCGTTGGTGAGGTAGCGTTTCTGTTCCTCCTCTTAGCTTCTTTGCCGGGCCTCATCTTGTCGAATGTTTTTGGGTCAAATTTCTTAGTTTGACTCTTAAGAGGTAGCAATGTAGTAGCATATTAACATTGTCTTGGGTCACAACTTAACTGATTAATTAATATTATAATTCATAATTTTTGTTTTGTTACTTATTAATTTAAAGTATATTTAAAAAGTAAATTCAAACTCTTAACTTTATCATTAATACAACCTCACACAGTCACACTAATTAACTTTATAATTTCTTTTTTGTTCTTTTCTCAAAAGATTGAATACACAATCTCAATGATCCCCACACTTCGATCCGATAAAGCATTTGAAATGATATAAATTACAGTAACTCAATGACTTATTAGACATTATCATATGCCGATGCACACAAGTGATCTGTCCATTTTAATATAATTTTTGTTTTGTTAATCTATGAAAGTCACGTCTAGAACTAAACATTTCTAAACAATGCAAGTCTTAAAATACCTAGACCCAAGCACATAAGTTCAGGTGTGATCATCGTATGATATGAACCTTTTTAACAAGATTAGTCTTTAAAAATCACGAAACAACACAATTTGACACGAGCTAACTAGCTTAAACTAGTGAAGTGTAGTAAAGCATATCTTATTTCCCTCCATGCAAGCTTTACAAATAATTATCTTCAATGTTAACAATTACTCCATAAAATATATAAAACGGAATTTATCTATTAAAAGTCAGTCTAAGGTATAAAAATAAAATAATGTCACAACACTTGTTCAATGTATACAAACTTGTAGCGAGCTAACAAATATATGATAAGGTTCGTAGAATCTTCTTATATAATTGAATGGCTTTTGGGTTACGTTGAAAGTTGGTATTATGGTTGTGTAAACTCAATAGCTATTGCCTATTGCCAACCAGACTATGTCACTATGTTCCAACTATTTGGGAAACAAGAAGCACGAGGAAAGACCCTGAGGGGTACGCTCTATTATTTATTAATGCGGATATATGTCCATCTTTTGATTTATAAAAAAAAAAGTCTACAATTGTTACATAAAAATACACTGTGCTTAACAAGTAAAGGATCACAATGAAATAAATCACTATAATAAGTTATCCATAGTTGATCAGTTCAAACTAAGAAAGTCAATAAATTAAACACTCCACACATGAAATCAAATTTAAAATTATTGTGTTTACCCATCTCTCGATGCGAGCCTTTAATACTCCTAACAAAATCAAACTTACTTTTGACAGACGAATAATTACATTGTAGTGATCTGACCATATTTTATTTAGTTTGTTTCTTCAGATCAATTACTTGTTTTTTCCTTATTAAAAAAACTTATAAATTTTTAAAATTTTTTATATTTCACTACATGCTATCTGAGCGCAAAATACTTGGCAAAAACTCGTGAATTTGAAAATCAAATCAAATAACTTACAAATTAAGTGACAGAAGGTTTCCAACTAACAAGTCCCAAACTTCAAACCCAATCACAAGCAATTCTTTGTAGTTTGTAGCACGTCAACACTTTTGATGAGCTAATAATTATATTATTTTTAATTTTTATTAATTATATATATAATATACCATGTAACCCATCCACCTCAAAATATTTTGATCAATACAAAAACTTCACAACGGACATATAATTTGATGAATATATCTCCGGCCTAATATATGAATTTCCAAGATTATTATAAATTACATTAATATAATTTTAATAACTTTATTATATATTAATTTTGTTTTTTCGCATAATAATTATATTATTAAGTAATAGAGTACAAACATGTCTATGTTGCGGTGCCGCCCCAGAAGGGAGATTGGCGAGGAGGCGGTAGGTCAAGAATTACCAAGAAGCTAGCTTTCATGTCGATATTCTCTGCACAAATCAATAAAGAAGAAAGTACACATTCATATCACTTTCAAAAAAACTTTGCAGATCTTTCAATGAATTTTCACTGCAATTTCCATGAAGACGGACTAATATATTGACTTCATCCAAATCCCACTATATATATATATATATATGCATCCCGGCTTTCTTCCAACACATATTATTCATTCATTAATATAATCTGATCTCTTCGTTAGTTTACGTAGGACCAACAAAGTTATAAAACACAAACACTACGTACGATTGAATTCATGGACGAGATTATTTTCTTCACGGTTGCAGCAGCTGGAAACTGGGCAGCGATTGATCTTTACAAGGTTATCGTACCCAGTGTGATTCTCATCTGGTTTCTCATATTTCAAGATTCTAGCTCGAGTTTTTGGAATTTATTTTTCCGGGCTGCTCTTTTCTTGCTTCAAGCCATCTTTTCTGCGAGTAAGAAAGCTAATTGTGCTGTTTGCAGTGATGATGAAGAAGGGGATGATGATGGGAAGTTGTGTGATGAGGAGGAATGTGTTGAGGTAATGATGGAAAGATTGATGATTTTCGGGGAGGTTAAGGAGAAAGTGGTGGCGAGGATGTCGGACGATGAGGTTTTGCATTTGTTTGAGGAGAGTGAGCCGAGTGTGGCGGAGATTAAGGAAGCTTTCGATGTGTTTGACGAGAATGGCGATGGGTTCATAGACGAAAAGGAGGTGGAGAGGATCCTCTGCAGAATGGGTTTCTCGGAGCTTTTGCAGGAGGATTGCAAGAAGATGATCATGGCGTATGATGACAACAAAGATGGGAAGATTGATTTTCGTGAGTTCTTAAAGTTAATGGAGCACAGTTTTGGATAGTGCGTGCGTGTCTGTGTGCGTGTCTGTGCAAGCGTGCGTGCGTGTCTGTGCAAGCGTGTCCGTGTGTGTGTGCGTGTGTGCGTGCGTGTGCGAGCGTGTGTGTGACAATGAAACTTGAGTGGTCTTATTCGATTGTGTGTGTGAGAGAGAGAGACAATGAAACTCAGCTCATCTTCACTATTCGATTGTGTGTGTGTGTGTGTGTGAGGCAATGAAACCCGACTCGTCTCCACTATTCGATTGGATGAATTAGATAATCTCCACTCCGACTTATATAATATTTTGACGTCTGGCATTAGTACGTATTCGCATCACACGAATACAACTAATCCAGTTGAGTTTGAATAGATGTTTATTAAGATCTTTAGCTTGTTTAATAGGGAGTGACTAATGGTAACAATAATTATATTATCCCGTTTAATAATATATTATATTCTTGTATGTTTATTTTGTTTATGGTGTGTATATAAAAGTTGAATAATTTGTGACTTATTTGAATTTCGTTCAAATGTGTCAACTCAATTCCAGGGTTATTTAATCAAATTTGACTATATATCCAATTTGAACAAGATGCAAATATGGATTAATAAATTTAATTCATTTTAAACAAATGTTATACATGTCCTACTTAACTTCAATACAAAAACCCAACCTCATCAAATTCAAATTTTAAAGTTTGAATAATTGCAATCATTATTTTATAGACGATGGACCACGCAGCTCTGTTGATCATAAATAAAAAAGTAAATTATTTGAATACTGAAAGTATATTATTTTGTATATTATTAAACAATATATATTCATTACACAAATAATGTAATTATAATATATTAAAAATGTACATTGTATTCATGGAAAGTATATTATTTGAATACTGAAAATATATTATTTTATATAATGTACATTTAATACATAAATAATTTACTTTTAATATATTAAAAATATTTTTTTATGGTTCACACAATATTGTGTGGACCATAGTCCACTAATGCTAGTGCCTAGTTGTTTGTGATTGTATATTACATGTCATAATCTCGATCCCAAGAGAATGATAAAATTACCTGTGCTTCCATATACCACATCAAATGTTTCCTTTTAAAAAATAAAATTTATAATTGTAAAAAAAAAATTGTACATGTAAACTTTAGGAACTAATTACACAAAAATAGCCACATCATAGAGTATGGATGATCACGATTTGGTTCGAGCCGAATCAGAACCCAAACGTTTCCGATTTGATTCTTATTGAAAATTTAATAAAATACGTGAATAATTTAATCTTGTTAAAAATTAAGTGTAAGCCTTTTCTCCGTAATATGATGATGGCATTGGGTTTCCATGATAGATGGGTTGATTTGATTATGAAATGTGTGACCACAGTCTCCTATAGTATTCTGATAAATGGCTCAAGGAGTGACCCAATAATACCCACGCGTGGTTTGAGACAGGGAGACCCGCTATCCCCATATTTGTTTATTATCTGTGCAGAGGGACTCTCGTTGTTACTACAACAGGCTAACAGAGCGGGATTAATTCATGGATGTAGGGTAGCAAGAGGTGCCCCTCAGATTTCTCATTTGTTTTTTGCGGACGATAGCCTTTTATTCTTTAAGGCTAATGTGGAAGAGGCTAATGAGATAAAGAAATGTCTGACTGTATATGAGGATCTATCGGGACAGGTGGTTAACTACCACAAGTCGAGTATTTGTTATAGCAGGAATACGAGTAATGTGGATAGGGAAAGTGTGGCCCAAGTTTTGGGGGTGGAGCAGGCACCAAACTTTGGCAAGTATTTGGGTCTACCTTCGTTTGTGGGTAGGAATAAAAAGGCAGCTTTTGCATATATTGAGGATAAAATACGCCAAAGAATTGGGTCGTGGAATAAAAGGCTATTGTCTCAGGCAGGGAAAGAAATACTGTTGAAAAGTGTGGCACAATCTATGCCTACCTTCTCAATGAGTGTTTTTTTGCTACCTATATCAGTATGCACGGCTATAGAAAGAACGATGAATAGATATTGGTGGGGTTCTGGGACGGACAACCGAGTTCACTGGAAGGCTTGGGACAAGCTATGTGTTCCTAAGAAGTATGGTGGATTGGGTTTTAAGGACCTACGTGCATTTAATCTAGCTATGTTGGGGAAACAGGCATGGCGAATGCTCACTAAGCCTGATTCCTTAGTAGCTCGTGTTTACAAAAGCCGATATTTTCCCAGGGATACTTTCTTTGATGCGCAGGTAGGAAATAATCCCAGTTTTTGTTGGCGGAGTATAATGGCATCAAAGAGCATAATTTGTAGTGGGGTCAGACGAAGAATTGAGAATGGGGAAACTACATCTATATGGACCCATCCATGGTTACTGGATGACCAGGACCCTATGATACAAACAGAGATGCCTATACAGTTACGAGAGGCCAGAGTAGTGGGGCTAATAGATCAACAAACTGGTACATGGGATAATGAAATTTTATCAGATTTATTTCAACCTACGGATGTCGAGAGAATTATGAGAGTACCTGTATCCCGGGATTATAATGATGCATGGTATTGGTACGGGGACCCGAGAGGATTATATTCTGTGAAAAGCGGGTACAGACGATTGGTGGGAGATTATGAGAATAATCAAGGCCCCTTTACTAATTGGTTAGCTTTATGGAGACTAAAAATTCCACCAAAGTGGAAAATGTTCCTCTGGAGAGCTATTTGTGATATTTTGCCTACAACTACGAACTTGCTTTTAAAGAGGGTGGAGGTGAACCCATATTGTGCTATGTGTGGGATATCACATGAGAATACAATGCATGCATTAGTCTTGTGTGATTTTGCAAGAAACATTTGGGATCAATCCAACCTTACAATCCCCAATATTGTCACGGATATTTTTCATGTTTGGTTTGGGGAACTTCTAAATATTTTAGATTCTGATGGAATGTTATATGCAGCATCAATTCTATACAATATTTGGAAAGCTCGAAATGGTGCAGTTTGGGAGGCGTTTTTACCACGCCCGGGGTCCCTACTCAGAGCCGCAGCGGCAGCCAAGACCGCATGGACTCAGTCCCGCCCAGCCGTGGCTGCCACTGCCACTGCTACGCTGCCGACAGAAAACCGCCACGCTGCCCAGGCGAGTCCCACCGCCGGCCGCGGTGCTGCCGACACCGCCGGATCCTCTGTGCCGCCAGTGAGAAGATGCAGGGTCGATGCGGGATATCTACACGAGACAGGGAATGCAACTGTAGGGGCCGTTTTATTAGATGGAGATGGAGCCTATATCTCGGCACTAACCGCGCCGCTACCGGCCTGTACGTCACCACTTATGGCTGAAGCTTTGGCGTGTAAGGAAGTTTTATCATGGCTAAAGGATCGAGGTGAACAGAATATTGAGATCTACACGGATTGTTTGACACTACAACGCTACCTTACATCATCAACCACTGCGTTTCGCTCTTACGTTGGCTATGCCATTGATAGCTGCAGGCAAATTGCCGTTTATTTTCACTCATGTTCTTTTAATTATATTTCTAGATCGGACAATTATTTAACTCATGCTTTAGCCACTACGGCTTATCAGCAACCTGATACTATGTACTGGGATAGTCACCCACCAGACATTATTTCAGCATTTTTCTAATGAAGCACCGCAGAAAATTTTCAAAAAAAAAAAAAGTGTAAGCCTTTTTTAGATTCTAGTTTAACTTTAATATTTAAATATTTGATATCATTATTTTTTAAGAATTAAAAAAAAAATTGTTTGAACTATTTTAAAAATAGAAAATATAATTTACAAAAAGAAAAAAAAAAAGTTCAATATGAAACCATAGTCCGATTTCAACTTGTTATTTTTTGAAACCGTGAATCGTGATCACGTCTATCATAGAGTCACTATAATGGCGTGTTTGGTTCATGGAATAGGTAGGGATTGGAATACCGTTCTCGGGAATAGACCTATTCCATTGTTTGTTTTGTCATTTTATTCAAGGTAATAACGTTCCCGGGAATGAGTTATTCCCTTTGCAGGGGGAATAGCCATTTTTAGGGGACCCCTGGTATTAGCTATTCCTAAGTATTTGGGAATAGCTTTAGTACTATAATACCGAAAATACCCTACCACCGTCACCACTGCCGTTATCTCCAACACCACCCCACCACCACCACCACAACCACCGTCGGCATTGCTACCATCTCCGCCACCACCACCTCCACTGCCACCACCGCCGCCACTGCCACCGCCACCGCCGCCACCACCACATATTTTTATAAAGGTATTTATGTCTTTTGAAACATATTTCATTATATATACATTAAACCAACCAAACACTGTAATATAATTCTTAAAGTCTATTCCTCCGGCGAACTAAACAATAGAATAAAACTTATATCCCTATTTCATTCCTTATGGAATAATATTCCTATTACCTCAAAATTCATTCTGTGAATCAAACGTGCTGTAAATTGTGTGAATTTTGGAGGAATAGGAACCATTCCCTTTTATTGAATATGCAATATTAGGATCTAATTAGATTATTTTGTTTGTTTAGATAACTTTATCCATTGAACCCATAACGTAGAGCAATGGTTCGATAATGAATAAATGAGATCATTAGTCAAAGGTTATTTGTGGTCAACTAGTCATTCAAGATTCCAATCTCTATACCTCTAGGCGGCTCCATTTCCACCAAATTATTTACTTTCTTGAACGCAACTCCAATCTTCCGCGCCAGATGAATTTTCTTCGCTATAGGCAGACATAGAGCTGCGACTGAGAATTGTAGTAGAGCTCAAGAATTTCTTTGCCCAATTGGGGAAACCAAGAACAGCCCCGATTCAACCTTCTTCCGATCCGTTCGAATTCATTTTTATGCCGATTTACCGACCACGCGATTCCGATGAGTTTGGGTCAATCTAGGAATGCTGCTCTTCCGCTGCTGAATCTTGTGAAGCTAAAAGGAGTGCCCATTTTGCAGCAACTGCATCTGGAGGAACGCCTGCTACGAACTTCATCCCATAATTGGTGCATCATTAATGACGGAACCAACACACCCACCATTGTTATGGGTCTCTCTGGGTAAGCTGATTAGTTAATTCTAACAATTGATTGTGTGTATGGATGATTTGAGCTGCAAAATCTTAGAGGAAGTTATTGAATGATTGATTGCCAAAAGAACATTTTTTTTAAGTGGATTCAATCTTGGGTTTGCTAAATATATGAGGATGAAATGTAGGTTGAATGGTTGCTGTCATGGATATCATCTTGCTGAAATATTTGATAATTGTCATGTCAATATGTCATGGATTTGTCTCTAGATATGAAGGATGATAGAGTTCCAAAGCTTTTACCTTTAGCTAATTACTATTGGCATTGCAAATTTGACTGCTTTTTTGTTTTCTGTATGTTTTCATCAAAGATTTCTTCTTCTTTTTTTTTGGTAAGTTTTTTCTATGCTTTTTTACAGCAAACCCACTGAACTTCTTGAAATCAATTCTGTTTTACGAGACAAGATACCGGTTATCAAAAGGTTTACTGGTGGAGGTACTGTAATAGTTGATCATGGGACAATATTTGCAACTTTTATATGCAATAAGGATGATGTTCCCAGTGTACAACCGTATCCCCGACCTATCATGTCATGGAGCAGCTTATTATACAGTAAGGTGTTCCAAGGAGTTGGGGATTTCTACCTTCGTGAAAATGGTAGGTTCATTCTAAGCTCCTTTCGTTTTAAGATCATAATTCCTTATCGCATATTTCACTTGTTTCTCAAATGTTTGGTCTAAAACCTCCTAGCTAGCTTTTGTTCATCAGCTACATGTTAGTCTATTTGTGTGAGCAAGCATGACAGTGATTCATTTTATTGAAACTATATTCTACTCTAATGCAACCTAAGTAGTTGTGTTGTACAAGGTGGCCACAATCATGTCATGTATTTATGTAAATGTGTTTCAGATTATGTATTTGGCGACCACAAGTTTGGTGGAAATGCTCAGTCTATAACAAAGAACCGGTGGATCCATCATACATCTTTTCTATGGGACTTTGAGGTCTCTAACATGGCATATTTGAGTCTTCCAAAGAGGGCCCCTGATTACAGACAGGTTTGCTATTATAGATCCTTATTTTATACTACCAAAAACTTCGGATTCACTTATTTTTATTACATGCTTTATAACTCGGCCTAATGATGGTAGCAAATAGCAATTGCAATTGCAATTATCTTTCTCTGATCTAAATGAACCAGTCTACCATTTCAGTTTGTGTGCCTAAATCTGCAATTTAAGCCTCAAGTTAGTCGAGATCTCTCATTCTCTCTCTCGCCCTTTTCTATATTCAGGCAAGAGACCATTTGGACTTCATATGCCGCATGAAGGACTACTTATCGAGGTCACAATTCATCAACCGGACCATCGATGCAGTCAACTGCCATTTTTCTGTGAGATCAATGGAGGTGGAAGAAGCTGAGCTTTTGTGTGACATGAAATTTTCACCCTCTTCTAGGCTACTTGAGATGCAAGAATTGAAGTCATTGTGATTTTTCATCTTTCATATTTTTACACATCCACTCCAGTTTAATCTGTAGCAAATAAATGTTGTAAATTTAGAACCTTTTGAGGTTATGTATCTGGGTAGCCGGCCTAATGGCCCTGGGTCCAAGATCCAACACAATTTATATTGAAATTTTCAAAATATAACAGAAAATAAACACACACAAAAATGGTACTTGAGGATGAATTAGAAGGAAGATGTGGATAAAAATGTCGTATGTAGTACTCCTGTACATTAAACATTAAGGTCCCTTTTACAGCAACACAAAAGCTCAAATTCTTGATCTGAAGAACCAGTGCCCTATTCATGGTTACAACAACATAAACAACATCTTCCCTCTGGTTTCCATCAACCTTAAGCCCCTCACTGACCCAGTGTTTGCACAATGGTGTTGTGCCATGGGTCTGACAGATGCTGCAGCAGGTTGTCGAATGGACCCTTGCCGGTCACGTTGTGCTGCACTATGAATCCAAGAAACGCCAACATCGCCAATCTCCCTGCAAAACAGACACCCCACAAGTTACACAATTTTCATAGATAGGCTGCATTGGGGTAACCCATCAAATTAATCATACTGTTACTTGGTAATCAAGGCTTGACTTCCAGCTGGAGCTAACGACCTATTGACCTTCTTAGTTTTTGCTATAGGTAATCTAGACTGGTTTAAGACGGTTAGGGACAACCTAGGCTAGTTCAAGTCCTTGACTTCCAGTTGGAGCAGCCTATTAACCTAGTTTCTTGGTTTTTGATAGTCATCTATAGACAAATTAGCCTGATTTAAGCCGGTCAGGGACAACCTAGGCTAGCCTGATTTAAGCCGGTTAGGCACAACTTAGGCTGGTTTAAGCCGGTTAGGGACAACCTAGGCTGGTTTAAGCCGGTTTGGGACAACCTAGGCTGGTTTAAGCCGGTCCGGGACAACACAAACTAGGCTGGTTTAAGGTGGTCAGGGACAACCTAGGCTGGTTTAAGCCGGTCAGGAACAACCTAGACTGGTTTAAGTCCTTGACTTCTAATTGGAACAACCTATTAACCTAGTTTCTTGGTTTTTGCTAGTCATTTATAGACAAACTAGGCTGATTTAAGTCAGCCTGGGACAACCTAGACTGATTTAGGTCTTTAACTCAGCGCACACACTCGAGTAGTGATTACGGGTTTTCCTGAGTTACTCAAAAATAAAGATAGGGTGCATTATATTGAGTTTGAAGGAGAAGATTTACAGACCATTTGCGAGCTCTTTCTCCTTGGCTTCAAGGGTGGGAGCAAAGTTGAGTGGGTTGAAGACGCTGCCGGGGTAGCCGCACTCGTGGGGCGGCAGGCTGTAGTTCTTGAAGATGGGGTCCTGGTTGACGCAGCCAGGGTTCTTGATGTCTTGCCACCGTCTGATCTCGACGTAGTGGAACAGGATGAACTCGATGACGAACAGCGTGGACGAGGAAGCAAAGTACTCAGACTTCCCGGCGTCGTACCACTTCGGAGCGTTGATGATTCCGATCTGAGTGAATACCTCCGGCAACAGCATCCCCGCCACGCCCAACATCGCCCACCGCCCGTTCACCAGCTCCGCCTGCACGTACCACCTCAAGTTCTCCGGGTCCTCCGCCAGTCCCAACGGGTCAAACCCATTGTCCCCGGGAAGACTAAACCATTCAAAACATCCATTATATTTTCAGTCAACTCAAATAAAGAATGGTGTATTGTATTAGTGTATAGAGTATATATGTAATTATACCTGCCGTCGAGATACGCCGGCGATGGCAAGCCGGGGAGCCATTCACCTTTCTTGGCTTCAATCTTGAATGAAACGTTGGATGAAGATGTAGACGCCCTGAAAGAGACTTCCCTGTTCAGCTTACCGGAAGATCCGGTGAGGAATCTGGTTTTGGAGGCGCATGGCCGGAAAACGGCGGCGGAGGGTTGTGTAACGGTGGCCATATTCTCCGATGAGAAATTCTGATGGGTTTTCTTTTTTCACTTACAAATGTCTGTTTTGTGTATGCATTTGTAGCATTTCAATTAAGTTGAGTGAAAAGGTTGTGGCCATGGTTGAGTGTTGAGTTGCATGGCCAGATTTTTGGGAATCAACGGCTGTGATTGGATGGTGAGTTCTTGATTGGCCAATGGGAATGGATGGATCTTATCCTTATCTCAGATTGCCATATCCATATATCTATTTCTTTGCTGCTGTTGGCTTTGGAAGATCATGAGGGACCCACTGATTGCCACCTGGAAATTAATTTTTAATTAAGAAATATAAAAAAGCAGCAATTCAAGTGAAGGGTGACAATGGGTATATCTTGTTTGAAAGATCTTTGCCATGTAGAATCTTTGGTGCCCAATTAGTGGAGGACAATTGGATGATTAAAATTCCATGCTGGCAAAAGATATCTTGTTTGAGATTATATTTTGGAAAAGAAATATATGCACAATGATAAGAGATATGTAGAAATGTATATTGTTCATCTTGACATTTCTTTTTGAGGGGCAAAATTTATAGTCACTATTTAAAAATGACACTTATTAAACTTTATTTTTGTGTAATAGTGGGCAGATTAGATATCAAAGATAATAATTATTGTTATGTTAACTTCGTACCTAGATCGCAGAATATTTTAGCACATAGTTTAGCTACTACAGCTTTCCAGTATGACACAGCTATGTATTGGGATACTATCCCACCTGACGCTATTTCAGCTTATCTATGAATACAACCCATTGGTTGACCTTCAAAAAAAAAAAAAGATATCAAAGATAATGTAAGAATATGCAAATTGTTTGTCCCTAAAGTTCAAATCATAAAGTACTCCAATAAGGTAAATCAATTTAGGCAAGTCTTGATTAAGTGGTTCAACTGAAAAATTAATAGACAATTCCCAACTAATTCACTTTCTAACCAATTTAACTGGATCAAACGTCAATGTATAGTGTCCCTCTTACTCTAATTCAAACTCAGAGCAATTATACTGTAGTTGTGTTGAAATGAAACTGCAGTGTATACAAAATGAAACTGAATAATAATTTAACATATTTGAGTGTATATTATTCAGCGAAATTGTAATTATATCAAAATGATACTATAGTTGTATTGGAATGAAATTGCAGTGCATATTTGATGCCTAAACCACAATGCATTGTGGACCGCGATCTACAGTATGTCAGTATAATTTGCCTTCAAACTCACGCAAATTATGTTGTGCAACCGTGTGCACGTGCAAAAATGAAAAAACGCGTGTCCCACTTAAAAAAAAAATTAGGTTCGATTCCCAGCAATAGCATTTTTGTGTGCATAATTTGAATTATATATCCACAAATTCATAACTATATATCCACAGTAAATGAATAACACAAAATCCTGAATGAATGAACTAAATGTCCACAATGAATAAACTAAATATCCACAATGAATGAACTAAATATCCGCAAATTCATAACTATATATCCACAATAATTCATAACTATATATCCACAATAATGCTGTTGATGGGAATCGAAATTGAATTTTCTTTTAAATGAAACGCGCGTTTTTAATCAAAACGACATCATTTTGCAACCGTGTGCACCATGCACAGCATAACTATCCTCAAACTCACTAGTGGGCAAACAAATGGACTTTGTGAACTATGATTGTGGGCCTTTGTAAAATATTTCTCACTAAGAATATGCAGCCCATATGGAAAAGTCTTTTTAGGCTGGGCTGTTTTAGGAGAGCTAGAGGGAGTGTGTACATGTGGGCTTAGTGAAAAGAGAGCCCACCAGTGGATGACAAATTATGGTACACAGTGTTATGTGAACCATAATAAAATGTACATTTTTAATATACTAAATATACATTATTTTTGTACTGAATGTACATTATACAATATAATGTACCACTTAGTACAAAAATAATATATATTCCCTGAATATAATGTATATTATTTTTGTACTGAATGCACATCATTTTACAGTATACAAAATATAGTCCATACAATAATAATTGTATTATAGATATCATCATACCAATGTAGGGCAAATTATTCTGTAAAGTCGATTTAAAATACATAATTTATCTACTGAATGTTCACAAATCACAATATACATACTCTTTGAAATGCTCTTATATAGAAGTTACCATTACCTAGAATTGAGCTCCAAGCCTACTAGTCCTCTTGAATGTGGTTATAGTATGCGCTTAGAAAATCACATAAGCTCATGCCTTGTATGTGGACTAATTCAAAATTGGTTCGATCTTAATCAATTCGTGACCATATCAAATCAAATATTTTTAAAATTATACGGAGTATATAACCATTCAAAATCTTAAAAGTAAATTTTGGTTAACACTAATGAATTTATTAAATTTGCGTGATGCCGTGATTACGTATGTTTGATATATCTTGTCGTCTTTGTTATTTCTTGTTGTCATCAATTAAAATTCAATAGTCCAATCCAATGGGATTGAAACAGAATGCCAACGAGAAACCATATGACCAACGTAGATGGTGTGAAAGAAAACAGCGGATTTCTTGTTAGATGGTTTTTTCAGTCTGTTGTCCCCTTCCTTCTTCATAATCCCCAGAGCCCCCAGCCCCCCAGTTCCATAGTCAAAAGAGAAAAACACAAAAATTCGATCTTTCACCCATCAACAATCATTTAATCTCTCTTTTAGACGAACCCGAAAGCGAAGAAGAGAATGGGAATGTTCGATTTGGAGAAGCATTTTGCTTTCTATGGATCATACCACAACAACCCAGTGAATATCTTCATTCACATGCTGTTTGTTTGGCCGATTTTCTTCACTGCTCTGGTTCTCTTCTACTTCACGCCCCCAATTTTCAGCGATTCCAAAGTTCATCTCTGTTGCCACACTGTCCTTGTGTTCAATTTTGGGTTCTTGTTGGCTGTGGTTTATGGCATCTACTATATTGGTATGGACAGGAAAGCTGGGTGTTTGGGAGCCTTGCTTTGCTTCCTCTGTTGGGTCTCTAGCAGCCACCTTGCTCATCGCCTTGGTTTCTCCTGTGCTTGGAAGGTAGACAACCTTTTCCCTTTCCTATGATTTTGTTCTGTTCATTTTCTTATAAACATGTTTTGTCCATAATCTAATTGATTGGTTAATGAAGATGAGATTAGATGAAATGTTGGTAGGGTTAGGTGGTGTTGGTTGTGTAGAGTTAAAGATATTTGTATAACACTCCAGAAACAGAAAAAAAGATAAACCTTTGATTGCTGCTAGGAATGATTATATGAGAATTAGCATTCTTATCAAAGCTATTACCATGATGTTTTCCATGATGAAAAGCTGTTTTCTTTCTTCTTGTGATGATTAAGTCTTTGCAAATTTGTGTTTAGTTGTGCTATGTTGACATTTTGGGGTGTTTGGTAAATAGCCGTTAGCTGATTGGGTTAGCAGGATTGACTAGTTGATAGCATTAGCTAATGACGGAAAAGTGTTTAGTAAATTAGCTGTTAACTGATTACATACAAAATGACTTTCTCAAAAAACTGATCGAAAAAGCTGTAATTTTTATTTATGGCCTTGAATTCTTGAAAAGAAATTTATAGTTCAGAGTTTGGGAAACGATATGCTAACTGTGGGATGTGCATGATCAGCTCGTTCTTGCAGCTCAGGTGATATGCTGGGCAGGACAGTTTATAGGTCATGGTGTGTTTGAGGTATTGATTTGAAGTAAATTAGTCTTTACTTCTGTCACCTCTATTCTGATTTCTGTCTAAGTTTTCTCACTCCCAATCTTGGTTTTCGATGTTGTAGAAACGAGCTCCTGCTTTGCTGGACAATCTCGCACAGGCGTTCCTTATGGCTCCTTTCTTCGTCCTGTTGGAGGTAAATATTTTGTCTCGAGCACACGAGAAATGGTTTGATTCCCACTAGCTCCTGACTGTGAGTTGTCAATTTGATACAGGCTCTTCAATCTTTCTTTGGGTATGAACCCTACCCGGGCTTCCATGACAGTGTCCAAGCTAAGATAGATGCTGAAATTAAAGAATGGAAAGAAAAGCAAAAGAAGAAGAACTCTTAAATCAGAGAATGCTTTTTTCTTTCTGGAATTGACTTGTATGCAATAGTTTCTGTAACTCCATTGTTCATCTCCAATAAAATGAACCAGTTTCTGAAATTTCAGACATGAATCTCTTGTTACAGTATCAAGCCTGAATCTTTTTGATCTTCTATGAATGTGCTTCTTCTCCTTGTTAGGATCAAGTGAAGGCCTCTGCCTAACGATCCCCTAACAACCTGGTGCTGGACTTGACCCTTCACTAGCCTTCGCCCAACAATTCCCCTTCCCAGCACTTGCTGGCCTTAACTGCAAAGTTTTGGCTCTGATACCACTTGTTAGATTAAACACTTACCACTACGCCAAAAGTTATAGCTTGTAGCGAATACTCACTTTATTTCCTTATACTGCCACATTTTTTGGCTCTGTTACATTTTTTAGAGGTAGGGTGTTGGATTTGGCCCTTTAGGACTCCGCCAAACCGTGCAGAATGGCAGCCTCATTCTTGTGTGAATTTGATCAAACTATTACCAGGAACTGGCTTCTGGACTCCTTTGTCCCTCATTGATTTCCTTGCTTCTATAAAATTGTTCCACAGGCCTGCACTTGCATACACATTAGAAAGAAGAACATAGTCACTGCTGTGATCTTGTAGAAGATGACTTCTGATTTGCTCTGCCAATTCCACTTTGCCATGAACCCTGCAAGCACCCAACAGTGTTCTCCAGATCACAGCGTTGCATCTCCCCGGCATACTGGTAATCAGATCGTACGCTTCCTGAACGAACCCAGCTCGGGCAAGAACATCCACCATGCAACCGTAGTGCTTTAGTGTTGGCTGAATGTGAAAGTCATGAATCATAATGTGGAAATACCTCTTCCCTTCTTCTACCATTCCTCCATGGCTACAGGCACACAGAGCTCCCAAGAAAGTAACATCATTGGGGAAACAGTGCTTCTCATTCAGCATTCTGGAGAAGAGCTTCAATGCTTCATCTGCATTGCCATGGATTGCAAACCCCAAGATCATTGTATTCCATGTGACTAAATTTCTCACTTTCATCTTGTTGAATACCCTGTATGCTTCTTCAACTTCACCACACTTTGCATACATATCGATAAGCGAATTGCAGACCTGAAGAGTTCTACTAAGGCTACTATTATCCACAAGAAAATGCAGCCATCTCCCATAATCCAAAGCACCCATTTCTGAACAAGCTGATAGGGTCACAACCAGTGTTGCCTCATCAAAGCCCACACCACATTTCTGCATTCTTTCAAACAAATGTAGGGCCTTAGCATACTCCCCACAGCTCATATGACAGTCAATTATGGTATTCCAAGCCACCAATCCTGGCTTGGGAATTTCCTCAAACAGCTGGTCAGCAACCTCAACATCCTTCAACATACCATACATATGAATCAGAGTATTCAACACAAAAACTTGGCTTTGCTGCCCAGATTTCACCACACTGCTATGCAGCTGCCTTCCCAACACGTCGGATCCCGACTGCCCACATAGCTTCAACAAGAAAGAAAATGTAAAATTATCTGCCACCACCCCATTTTCCTGCATTCTCTTGTAGTATTCAATTGCTCTTTCAACCTCACCAGTCCTCACAAACCCTCTGATCATTGTATTCCACAGAAACCCATCTGAACTTTCGGCATGCTCAAAAACGGAGACAGCATATTCCATTGATCCCTGCTCAGAGATAGCGCAGAAAGCAATGATCTTGCCTAGGAGATAAAGGCTGTGAGTTAATCCAGCTTGAATGATTTGGGCATGCACTTGTTCTATCCCTCTTGCAGTGGAACATTTCTTGAAAAGAAACAGATACTTTTGTTCTCTAGAGCTATGGTAACTTTTACATTCTGAATTCTCAGTTTTAGTGGGAGTTTGAGCTGAAGAATAAGCAGAAGTGAGTTCCCAGAATGGCCATTTTATGAAAAGTGACAAATTCTTCTTGATTTGGGAGATAAGTGAAATGCATGGCTTGCAGAGCTTATAATTATGCATACTCAATTGCCCAACCATCCCTCTATCTCACATTGTTTATATATATATATATATATATATATATATATATATATATATATATATGCCAGTGTTCCCATGAGTCTACCCTTATATGAATCAGAACAGATCTGGACCATTGAATATTTAAGATCAATGACTAAGATTTGACCAATTGTACAAATTCGTTGTGCACTTCACTTGCATAGTTGGCGAAATCTAAGCCATTAATTGCATTCAATGGCATAGATCTGTCCACACGAACTCATATAACAGGATGAACTCATTTGATCAATAGTCGCGTGTGTGGGGTCTTCAACCCACAAGGAATTTGGGCCCAATAAGCTCCTTAGATTGGGCTATACAGCAAGCCCAATGCCCCAACAAGTAACATTCTATCAATATTTAATTTAAATGTGTGGGGCAAGTGCTTTGTACTCATATGACACCTCTGTTGGAGTATTGACTCTTTGGACTGCATTAGTTAGAGAAAGTATAGAACAGATATTACCTTGTAATAATGTGTAGAGGTGGCTAGTAACAAGAATAATTCTTATCAGTTATTAATATCATCTTAATCAAGTTCGTCGCACATGATCTTTCTACAATTGACCTCTGCTCTTTTGTATGATATATGGTATACTAGTTACTAAATAGTTTTCAATCTCACAATTTACTAATTAATCATCAAAAGGGAGTGCAGACCAGCTGAGCAAACCTAATTATTGGTTAGCTGAATTAGCTCAATTGGAACATATATTATGCAGTGCATGCAAATTAGCTTAGCCAAGCTAACATCTCTAATAGAGGCTAGTTTGGAGTTTTGCATTGCTAGAAAACATAAAGCTTAATGATCGAAAAACATGACCATCAGTAAAGTAAAGGCACTGGACTATGATGTTCTTGTCTTGTTTTGTTTCATCATTTTTCTAGTGGACCTCTTCTCATCTCAATCTGCACCTCTTTTCCTTCGGATATATCACACCAAATTCAAGTGTTAGCTCACCAGCTCAACATAAATGAATATTTCATTCATTTGGGATAGTGAGAGAAACGCACAACCATTACGTGAAGCCGTGCATGGGTAAATAACTCTATCTTGTGATTCCATTGTCTTGTGATCCAGTTTTTTACGGGAAAAATTCTCGAATTAGTAAACTGATCCTATCTTAATCTTCATGTTGAGGTGACAAAAAGAGTGCTTGGGATAGTATAGTGCAAATAACTGGGCTCGTTGCGTCTAGTGGAAGACTCGGGATAACTGATAAGTTGCCCAAGTGACATGGATGGAAAAAAGTTGTATTTGTGACTTGTATAAATTGCTAATCACATGTTATCCACTTGTACTGATCTTGATCACTCAATACATATTTGCTCTATACATATTCATTTTTGTCTAATTACATTCATTATTCACTCTATTATTTTAGATAGGAAGATATTAAGTCATTATTAATACTGTCAATATTAATTACTTCAACAAGAAGGAAGAGAAACACTAAAATGATAACAAAAATCAGTTAAAACACGCGCAAACTCTCCTTGACCAACAAACATTCATACAATCGTCAAACAAAAAATCCTAGCTAGTTGCTCTTCCATTACCTAAATTAACCCTCGATCATGTTGAACAAATACCTTTACAAAATAATCAATTCTTTTATTTTATTCTTGAAATTAAAATATGCATCCTCCATATCTCTCATCGTCTTCTCGACATCATTTAAAAAATCCTGAAAAAAGCATATCAACCTAGTTTTATCCAACATATTCTTAAAATCAGGGGATAGTGTTGGCATGTTGGCAGTCAATGAAACACTAATTTATCGTTAATTAAGTAAATATGAAACTTACTATACGCAAGTATACTCGTCAATATATCCTCCAATCACCTCTTCCCATTTGCCCTTTCGATCTAGTCCTTTATACCAAATCGTTTTCTATACAATAATTGTTACTGCACTTTCAATCATAATCAAGAATTCGTACTGACCATTTGAATTATATTCAAGATAAAATTAAATATGATATGATTTTTATTTATTTTTTTGGATCAGAACATGAGGGATGACTCAGAAGAAAAGGCAGATAGTCACCTTAATTTTCCTCACATTTTTTGCCCTTAGAGCCCGAATACAATCATAATGGACTGGCCCCTCGATTGTAGGGGGCACATATATATCAAGAGCTCTCCAACCACTCTTTAGATTAGCTCCCAAAATAGCAAGCGCATCTGCTACTTCGTTTTGTTCCCGGTAGATCCACTCTATAGAAACCATCTACCTCTTCTTAAGTCATCTACTCACTTCCTCAATAAGCTCTCTCACTAGTCTGCTAAGATCAATTTTCTCATTAATCCAATTAACTACGTTTTTGATGTCAAATACTCAGATTAAATCTCGATATATTAAATTCCTTTATTCTAAGCTCATTCTAGTCCGATTTTTACATATAAAAGTTCTCATACAATAATAATAAATATTCTTTGTTTGGGGGGGGGGGGGGGGGGGTGATACAATGCATCTAAAAAATATTATAAACGGTTTTTTTTTTTTTTTTTTTTTTTTTTTTTTTTTTTTTTTTTTTTTGGGTAGGATTATAAACGGGTTATATACGTTATAGAATTTTTAGAAATAGAAATTGCTATTTCTGAAAATAAGTAAAGGTTTTAGATTGGTTATGGGTGCATTAACATGTTTCCTTTGGTGGTTAACAAAAGGTTGACTAAGTAATCAAATAACCAATGTGATTACCTGAGAATTAGCGATTCATCGGAATCAAACAAACGAAGTTGGCACGCGTTCTATGTATGATTGGCTAACTATATCCACAAAAGGAAATCCCTCTTAATTTGTCTAACTTTTCTTTTATTATTATTATTATTATTATTAGGAAAAAGGGCCAAATAGGTCCTCAAACTTTAACTTAAAAGTCAATTAGGCCCCTAAACTCTTTAAAGGTGCAATTACACCCATCAACAATTCATTTAGATGCAATGAAGCCCAAAAACAAGTTAATGACTTGCTATCACAGGTCATTAGGGTTCAGGCCACCTTTCGGCGAAATTTCCGGCAAAAAAAAAAAGTGACCGGTGAAATTTCAGGCAAAAAATGACCGGCAGCGACCGTTCATCTATCGCCAGTCACTTTTTTTTTTTTTTTGCTGGAAATTTCGCCAGTTGGTCGCCGATCACATTTTTTTTGCCGGAAATTTCGCTGAAAGGTGGCCTGAACCCTAATGACCTGTGATAGCAGGTCATTAACTTGTTTTTGGGTTTCATTGCACCTAAATGAATTGTTGATGGATGTAATTGCACATTTAAAAAGTTTAGGGGTCTAATTGACTTTTAAGCTAAAGTTCAAGGGTCTATTTGACCATTTTCCCTTATTATTATTATTATTATTATTATTATTATTATTATTATTATTATTATTATTATTATTATTATTATTATTAAAAATTTTAAAATCTCGATTGACCCTAATACTGATCGTATCTATTACATCACGTATGTCATACATGATATATACAAAAGACACCAATATTGAACTACCAATTAATATTGTAGAGTTTATATTATATATATAAAGAAAATATTACATGGATGATGGATCTTGATGTTAAGTCATGGACCAAGATCCACCTTGTAAGGTGGATCCGGGTCTAAAATACACAATTTACATACTAAATGTTCACAATTTACTTTTTACAAAATTGTAAATATTTAGTATGTAAATTGTGTATTTTGGACCCGGATCTACAGAATAAATTGCCCTTTTCTATACCATACTTAAAAGAAAAGAAAAAAATTATTAATAACTAACACTTCGAAATTGTATGGGGTAAATCAAAATTTTAGTACATCATACTTTGGTGCAAAACAAATTAGAGATTATCATAATCTTTGCCTTATTGATTGCCGAGAGGAATGGCTTGTGCTTCAATCTTTGTTATTTTTAGTAATTTTGTTTTGCATTTTCAACAAATCATTAATTACACCAAAAAGAAAGAATGAATTGAAAGAAAAACAAGTGTTGCAACTTGACTTTGCGCCTCGTTTCTTTATTCCTAACAATCCAACCCTAAAAATGTAACATTTTTATAAAATTTAATGTGTCATTTAATTTTTAATTTCTAAAAGTAGGAGATCAAAACGGCCCATGATGTATGATTGAGTGATCAAGTTTTAATTTTTTCTTTATTTAACTAATAAACATTTTTATATAACTATTTTTTTTTTAAATACGAGACGAAAAATTCTAGATTTTCAACCATTATAAGGTGATCTAATAAAAATATAAGGTTTTCGGTAATTAATGACCTTTCCGGCCACTTTGAAAAATTTAAAAAGTCTTTCATAGCTATTATGGTTTACTCATTGAAAGGGAAAAAAAAGATTAAAACTAAATTATAAAATTACTTTTTTAAGCACACATTATTGGAAAACTCAAGATTGTCAACCACTAGAAAATGGTTAGAAACCTAGGGTTTTGTGTCAAATGTGACATATTCGATAATATTTACTAAACTTTAATTTATGAGAAAGTTCGCAACCGCTAGCCGAATGAGCGCTTTAGATGAGACTCGCATTGTGATTCTAAACGTTAATTTATGAGAAAGTTCGATCGTAACAGCTACCCAGTTCGGATGTGCGTTTTAAGTGAAACCCGTCTTGTGACCCTAGCTGGCAAATGATCAGACCCCAAAGAGATAAGTTAGTTTAGATTGTCCATAACTAACCAGATCAAACTAAGAAGGCCATTAGACAACTCTCACCAGAATAAAAAAAAAAACTTGTAAATATTAATATTTATTTACTAAACTTGATATTATGTGTCGGGTGTAACCAACAACTAACTATTGCAAACATCCCATGAACATATACATACAAACAATCTAGATGACAGCAAAAGCTATCCTTTTGGTGCACTCTAGGACAGTTTAGCATCTGTAAGTGAAGATGTCTTTAGTGAAGTTGCTAGATATCCATGCTGCCATAGCCATAGCCACAAATTCAAGCTTCCATAATCATACCTTTATGGCTTTATTATGCATCCTGTCATGGGCCCTCTATAATGCTACTTGTTTGCAATATTGCATATATAGGCTTGAATCACCATAGCTTTTTGTGTCAAGCAAAGTGGGGTAGCATAATAGAATCTTATTTTCTTCTTTTTGACAAAAAACACAAAAGGATTTCAAGGGTGGTGATAATTTTATTTATTTATTTATTTATTTATATGGTGGCCTGGTACATTTTACAAATTTACAATTTTTTGTTTGAGTCAAGATTTTAAATTAAATTTTTTTTTTTCCATTCATGGTATGAACATATGTGTCTATCTGTGCTGATTTTCGTGAATGTTTTACTTTATACATGATAACAATGTGAGTGGTTTTATTAAATTTAACGTACACAACATATTAAATATCGGATTTAAAAAGTAATAAATACACAATTAGTTATAACCATAAATTATTTGTTATAAATTTATTCTTTTTTTTATTAAAAAGACAAAAGATGAAGAAGGTTATATTTGGAAAATACACACAGCCTACCTGATTGCATCAGCAGAATGTACACCATCTATTTTTTTTTGAAAACCAATGTACACCATCTATTAAAAACAAACTTCATAATTTTTAAAGGTCATGGTTGGATACTTGGATAGCTTTGTGGTATATACACTTGAAACTAACATTCCACTTTTGAATTTTCCAAATTTTCATTACTTTATTGTCCACAAAAAGCAAAATTTTCTCGTCACAAGACCCTACACTTTGACCCAATAGAATAGTAAATAAATAAGTAACCAGAAGCCCATTAGAGCACCACCCAATAGAGATTCTTGGAGAGGTTTCTTCAAAACAAAAATTTAGGATGGGGTTTTTAATTGATTGGAGATGGGGGGCGGGGGTTCGAATTTTTTCCTTTGCAAAATCAAAATTGTTATGCGACCAATTGATTAGGGAAATGGGAGAAAGTTGCTGCGCAACTTATGCGTGTGTGGAACTGGCGTGCCCACCATGGTGCGTGCACTACATGTGACATGATTGGCGCGTAAATTTATTTATTTTTTAACTTTTTCTTGTCAAAATTTTTTTTCTTCATTTTCTCTTCTCTCTTCCCATCTCTCCTATATGACACTGAAAGAACCACCAAAAATTTTTCATTGTTGAGGTTGCTATTAGGTGAGTGGACACTTTTCAGTAATTCACTATGCTTATTGCTCGAATTGAAATTTCTATGACTAAAATAATAAAGCGCTTCAATTACAATTCATTCAAATGACCATTTAGATAGCTGTTAAGGTGATTTCTAATTACTCTTTCGAACACAGTTTCACTGTCAGTGTCTATAAACGTTTCATTTTTAGTGTTCAAACAATCATTGAGTCATTGGACTTAGGTTATCTCCACGTAACTCTAGTGATGTGAATATTCTAATATCACATTCCCTTATTTGATTCAAGGAAATGTGAAGTCACCTTAAGAAATGTAAAATTGTTAATTTTTTTTGTAACATTCACATAAATCACATTCTTCCATATTCTGAAGTTATATTAGATTTTCGAAAATATTATAATATGTCATAATATTCTTTATACCAAACACCCTCTTAGTATCTGTTTGAGTACATGGGTCTTTATTTTGAATTACTACATAAAAACATTCTACGAACCAAACACAGTACCTGTTTGTCAAATGTGTAAAACAGAAAAACAAAACAACCTTAAATAGAAAAACAAATAAAACAGGGGGTGGGGGGATATTTGGTGATATATAAAAGGGGGATAAACTGCAGAGATCTGGAGCAGGGTAGGCTAATTGAGATGAGAATAGAAAAGCCAAAAACAACCACCTTAACTGTTAGCCATTGTTGCTTACAAATCACGTTTCCATATCTTCCCAAATCCAGTATTTATTGCGTTCTCTTCTTCCTCCCACTGCTTTTTCTCTTCAATCATTCAATCACTTCCCATGGCTTCTCTCCCTCTTTTTCTCCCCAACTTTTCCCATTTCTCCCCATCTTTTCATTAGCTTTCTCCCCAGCCAAAAGCCTCTATCATCTCTTTGCTCATATCCTTCCTAGCTAGCTCCTTTCAAATTAAATCTATCCCCATTTTAATTAGCCTTTCACTTTCACTGGTTTTATTTTAGCCATGGAAAACTTGCCCGGACCTGATCACCAGATGGAGTTGCCGCCGGGATTCCGTTTCCACCCCACCGATGAAGAGCTCATCACTCATTACTTGTCGAACAAGGTTCTTGACACTTCTTTCTGTGCTGTCGCCATTGGAGAGGTGGATATGAACAAGGTTGAACCTTGGGAATTACCTTGTAAGCTTTCGGATTTTCATGTTGTTTTTTTTTTTTTTATTTGTGGTTTGGTTTTGACGCTTCCTAGGTTTATGAGTTTTGGGTTTGATTATTGGTTTAGGGAAATCAAGAATTGGGGAAAAGGAATGGTATTTTTTCTGTGTGAGGGACAAGAAGTACCCAACTGGAATGAGAACCAACCGAGCCACCGCTTCCGGCTACTGGAAGGCCACCGGAAAAGACAAGGAGATTTTCCGGGGGAAATGCCTCGTCGGAATGAAGAAGACCCTGGTTTTCTACCAGGGCAGAGCTCCTAAAGGCGAGAAGACCAACTGGGTCTGCCATGAATTCCGACTTGAAGGAAAATTGTCTCTCCCCAACTTCCCCAATGCAACTCAGGTTAAAACCCATAAATGAATAATCTTTCCCTGTTTTACTCTGTTTTTACGTCAATCAATTGAGGTTTAATTTACCATTTCTTGTGTTGTTGCAGAGTGATTGGGTGATTTGCAGGGTGTTCCACAAGAATTCCTGCGGAAAAAATGTCCATTTTTCAGGGTTAACGGACACCAAGTCCTCCGTTCTGCCGCCGCTAACAGATTCCTCCACCCCGCCGGAATCCGGCCACGTGACCTGCTTCTCCAGTCTCATCCCACCTGAGAACAAGAGCCTGCAGCAAGAATCTGTGAGCATGATGAACTATCTCAGTCCATTACCGTCTTCTTCAACTGCAGATAAAGCCATCGATATTTCCCCACACCCACAGAATGTATTCCCGTGGAGCCAAGCTGCAGGCAGCAGCTTTCTGAATCAAGATTCATTCCCCATTCAAGACCCTGCAATTCTGAGGAGTCTTCTTGCCGGCTGTGGCCACCGGAGCTTCAAAACGGAGAAGGAGATCGTGTGTGGGTCTCAAGAAACCACTGAAATCTCCTCTGTTGTCTCAAATCTTGAAATGGGAGGAAGAAGGTCGTCGTCTTTTGATGATCAACAAAACCCACAGGAGCTTGACTGCCTCTGGAGTTACTGAAAACTTATTAATTATTATTATGATTTTTATTATTATCATGATTATTAGTATTGTTATTGTTGTTGTTGATGTTTCTTGTTGTTAATTAGGAATATTATTAAGGTTATTATTATAATTAATGAAGTTTGAAGTGTTTGTATGTACATAGGTTTTCTGTTTTCTGAGGTGGTCTCCATACTCAATATAAAAACCTTATGTGATATCTCATGATGGGTTGTGTTGATTTTTGGGATCAGGTTGTTGCCGCAGTGATCTTCTCCTGTGTTTTTATCTGTTTGAAACGACTTTCTTTGTCCATTGTTTCTATTACATCATCAAAATCATATTTCTTTTTCTCCCTCACTCTCTAATATATATATATATATATATATATATATATATATATATATGTGCGTGCGCGCGTGTGTCAAAGCATGTAAGATTGATAACATTGCTGGTTGCTATAGTGTGCGGGTTCGAATGCTATTGAAGGCCAGGGCGAATTCACCAATGTCAGGGTAGTAGGGTGTGAACTAAGGTTGATAGTTTGTTTCGCAACTGAGTTTTGTAGCGTGTGAGCTAAAATCTGACAAAGGGAGCATGCGAGTAGCTATGACGGAGGTATATCACACAATTTACTTACATACGAAGCCTTTAGGAAAAAAAATATATATAGAGGTCTTCAATTTGAAGTATAAATCGTAGGTGTGGTTCGCTTTGCTAATTATTTTATAATATTAAAAAATGTGAGTATTTAGGACCACATGCACGGGCCTCTCTACTGTTGAAGACATGCTTGGATTGCTTGGTTGGTCCCTTATAAGCATTTTGAATCTCTTGATCAGAAAAGGGATTGGATCATTTGGAATTCTTAATTATTTTTTAATTGTGAGTTGATGTACTTTTGAATCATGGACAATTTTTTATGAGTTGTGTCTAAGGTTACAATGGTCCATGATTAATTATTGCAATTTTGAATAATCATATAATTAACCATTTTCAACTCAAATTATTTACAATTTTTTTTTTAAATACTAACTCTTAATCTATTACAATGTAGTATCTTTTTTTGAATGCTACTAGCTCTATTACATTGTAGTATCTATTCATATACTTTCTCAACCTACTGAAACACAAAGAGCTAATAACGCCTCCACTGAGGCTCGAACTCATAACCTTCCAAATGAATGTTCAACCCGGATACCATTGGACCACATAGTCCTGGTCATACATATTTTCTCAACCTACTGAAGCATAAAGAGTCAATGTCCCTACAGTGAGGTTCGAACTTGAAACTTCTTCAATTAATGTTTGGTGGGGTGATAATCGTAGGGTCTAATTACCCAACTTTAATTTGGTAAGATAGGATAAATGAGTAATTATAGTAGGGGATGAGACCAAATAATATGGATTCTTAACCATAACTACTATACTATATACCTCTGCAATACATAATTCCTAGATTATGTATGGATTATTATGCAAGGATTCTATATTTTTTTACCACCTATAAAAACATGTGATGATGACAAAAGACAAGAAATTCAATTCAAGTTCCATATCTCTTCCTAAGCTCGTATCATGTGCATGTACTCATCAATACAAGATAAACATTGTGAATCACATGTATAAAAAAAATTACACAATGTTGAGTCTTTGTGTGCACATGACCACGATCCACGTAATAATAATTGGATGAATTTCTTACCTAAAGATCACAAATTGATTCTTGTCAATACATTCTTAGTCAAACTCATCATACAAGGTCTTTCTTTACAGACTATTAGACGATGCATGTACACCCTAGACCTGTCAAGTATTACACATATCCTTAACAATGACTACAAATTTCACCTGTCAAGTATTACCCTTAATGCGCTGTTATATAGTGTAGTTAGTGAAATAATTTTTTTTATTTGTACAAAAAATCCAAAATCCATGTCGGTATCATACTTATTCCTCCCTACACAACCAATATCCAGCTAGGGACATTCCAAGATTCACTATACTCTACAAATGGACAAACAAAAATGAAATTAAATTCACGTCGCTCCAAATTCTTGTCTCATAATTAATGCTAAACTTTTGTTTCCACCATGATCAAACCCTAGATGCATGAATTATAGGCCTGATGGCTCCCTAGCCGTCGGATGAGAGAGCAGATCCAACCAATCCTAGTCCCTAGTCCCTTTCTTGGAACTTTTCCAAACATATGAGACAACCCTTAATATATTTCCCCCAAACACCACCTTAGGAAAAGCAATTAGTTTTAGGTAGAATTGGCCTTTCATAGTTCATTGTGTTCTTGGACGACAAAAGTGGGTGATGTATCATAATTCTTAAATTTTGTCGTGCCCCTAATCCTATGCCTCCATTTGGCTGTAGGGGGATTAGAAATAAAGCAGTGTGTACTGTCTCGTGATCAAGGGTGACAATCAGACAATCAAATAATTAATGGCCTCTCAAGAGACGTGTTTATTCAAGTTAATTAATTAGCATTATTCGATTATAAATCGCAAATTGCATGTAATTCAAGTAATAAAAAACACAACACATTATGTATTAGTGTTGTACGTAGATTCTTTTTCTTTTGTTTTTTTAGGTGCATTTAGTGGTGGCAAAATTATGAGTTTTATTTGAATCAAATATATATATATATATATATATATATATATATATATATATATATATATATATATATATATATATATATATATATATATATATATATATATATATATATATGCACTCAGGTGCGAATGCTTCGCCCAGGAGCGAAATAGGAATGGATTCTGTCCGTCCACGTGTCCAGATCTAATGGATGAGAAACACTGATTATTTTAAAAAAGCACGGTGGCATTTTCGTAAATAATTGAACATCGAAGTGCAAGTAAAATGTATTACAAGTGCATGTAAAATGTATTATAAGTGCAAGTAAAAATTTACACCGAGTATCAATACTAATAAGTAGTTGCATCTATAGTTCTAAGTAGTTGCACGAATAGTTATAAGTAGTTGCACCTAGGTGCATGAATGTTTGCGGGTGGTTTTCAGGGGTATTACTACCCGTTGAACTCAGATCAATGAATGTTAACAAGGCAAAATTACATGCACTTATAGGTGAAAGTAAGTGCACCTCTATAGTTATTAGTAGTTGCACCTATAGTTATAAATAGTTGCACCTATAGTTATAAGCACACCCAAGTGCATGAATGTTTGCGGGAAGTGAATGCTAACAAGACAAAATTACATGCACTTATAGGTGAAAGTAGGTGCCCTTGTAAGTGATTTTACTTGCACTTCGATGTTCAATTATTTACGAAAATGTCACCGCATTTTTTTAAGCTATTAGATCTGGACACGTATCGCGCGCTCATTCGTTCGCATATTCCTTCCTGGGCACTTATTCGCACCTGAGTGCATCCCTATATATATATATATAGGTTTATGATCCGATGAGAACACACTCTCATAAAAAAATTAAGAGCTAATCTTAGCCTTGCATCTGTAAAATTGACGGATCATATATATCATATTTTTAAAAAACTATTGTGGCATTTTCGTAAATCATCGTCAACTTCACTTTGCAAACTTGAAACACTTAATTATGTAATTTGTAACAACTAAATATGCAAATCTTGATAAATTTTTTAAAAATTAATGAAAAAACTAAATTTTAAATTTAAACCCTAAAAGTAAACTCCTAAATCAAATAAAACAAAAAATTCAGTCATAAACTTTAAAATCTAAAGTCTAAGTGCAATGCATTATTGCATTTTTTACAAGTATAATCTTTTAATTTCACTATAATAATTTACGAATCATACCGATAGAATCATTTTTTAAAAACATGTCCTGAAGTGTATTAAATTACAAAATTGGTTATAAAACGTTTTTATAAAAATATTTCCAAAATACTAGAACGTTGTTTTAATTTGGAATAAGGTTCAAATTGGCCACTGAACGTAACCTGAAAATGCAATTAGGCCACTGAACGAAAAAAAAGTGCAATTAGGCCATTGAACACTCAAAAAATGTGCAATTAGGCCACTGGACTCTCCAAACGTATGCAATTTTACCGGATAGCAGGTTACCATCAATTTTAGCAGGTTACCTGCTTACGTGGCAGCTAAGTTGGCATTTTTAATAATTTTTAAATAATTTTTAATAATTAATTTTAATAATAAATTTTATAAAAAATTGAAAAATTTATTAAAAATTAATTAAAATTTATTTAAAATGCCAACTCAGCTGCCACGTAAGCAGATAACCTGCTAAAATTGAGGGTAACCTGCTATCAGGTGAAATTGCATATTTTTTGAGTGTTCAGTGACCTAATTGCACTTTTTTTTTCGTCCAGTGACCTAATTGCATTTTTAGGTTACGTTCAGTGGCCAATTTGAACCTTATTCCTTTTAATTTCAATGTTATTGTACGTCGCTGCTACGTACTCTTGCTAGCCGCCGTAATGACAACCCATTTTGGGTTTAACTGTTAACTGTTAAAAATTCTCAATATTTTTATTGTATGTTTAGTTTCCTTACCGATTGTTCTTTGTGCCAAAAAAAAAAAAAAAAAAAAAAAAAAACTAAATAATCTTAACATCTTCAAAAGCTCGTGCATATATCACTTGTCTGGCGGCTAACAATCCAACAAGAATTTTATGGCGAACTTCAACTTATTATTATTTTGTTTGTATGATGTAAGATTCTAAGACTCGAATTTTTGCAGAAAATGAGAATTTCACCATATTTATGACAATCATGTTTTTGTGGATAAGTATCTAAAGAATAATATTGGGCAATAATTTTCTTGTTGTTTCAAAGAAAAAAGAAAAAGAAAAGGTTGAGAGCAATAGATTCGTTTAAGGCATGGAAAGGTGGTGTGAAACGATGAGAAATGAAGAAAGCCAACTCATCAATTATTTCATATTTAATTATTAATTAAAATTTTGAAGGAATAAATTATCTTTTTCAGTTTGTCAAAAAGAAATATCCTTCCCATATTTGCATGGAAAGTCATTTAATCTTATCTGGCCTTTCACACCGCCAACCCGTTCGGTCCACACGCTACATTGAATTTCTTGTAAATGTTTTTTTTTTTTTTTTTCAAGAAAAAACGCCCAGTTTTTATTTAACGGTGTGTATGTATTCCTTCCTTCTGCGTAATAGTCCTACACGCCATTATGAAGGTTTTTTTTAGCTAATAAAACAAAGATAATGCTATTTTTCATAATAAAAAAAATCAGCCATTTCTACTAAATTAACTCAAGTTCTAAGGTGTGTGTATATATATATACATGCACACATACATGTGTGTATCATATTTTTTTCAACAAGCTCTTAGATAAAATGCAAATTAATTTAATTCATCCTTCTAAGTAATTAAATCAATGATTGGAAGTTGTTAAAAAAATTAAGAAAAATAATGAAATTAATTTTATAAATATTGATTTCTTCTTCTTTTTTTTTTTTTTTTTTGCATGTTAAATTAATTCACACTTTTAAATGAGAGCATGAGACATGTGTTCTCATATGAGTGTGTGTATATATATATATATTCGTAACTCTAATAAAATTTCTTATTAGTTGGGTTCTCTAAATTGGATCAAGACCCTAATACAACCATATTTCCTATGGACATCATAGAGAGTGAGAGCCATAAGTTGTGGGTAAAGTGTAGGGTTCGAACCCTGTCACACATCAAACATCATGGGAGTTGGGCTCCCAAATTGAAATAGGGTTTGGATGGGTCTTTGGTTGCTTATGCGATTTAGATTTACGTCATTTAATGACTCTTGAGACGGGAAACTGGATGTTAAGATTAGTCTGGTATAAGCTGAGAAACCTATCTATTAAAAAAAATGCACCAACCCCCCCCCCCCCACACACCCACACACCCACACACCCACCTGCTTAATTGAATTGAGTCAAGATATTTGGATTGGGCCGTGATACACAACTTGGGCTAGCTAGAGCAATTATTCCATCATTTGCCAATGAAGATTTGGAGGTTTTGGTGACTTTAATGGCATTCTTGAAAGGGAATTCTTGATGGTATACTGATAAAATAGTGCACCATATATGCTTGTTAGCAGAGGTTAAAGAGATCAGATCTGCAGTTATCTGGATTGAACAACCAACAAACACATTAACCTGTTTCTATGTTCTTTCGATCATTTGAAATTTGACAAAAACGTTATCTTTTCTCCTTAAAAACACAGATTAAACATACAGCTCTCATCTTCAAAACATATATGGTACGGTCATGTCATCAATTGGTATTCTGATAGAGCTTAATACCCCTCATTCTGTCTTCACAAGGCATTATGTAAGGAAGAAGCTCCCTGGTGTGGTCTAAAGGAGGAAGGAAGAAGCAGGGTTCCATGGAGACGACTCTCCGGCACGGCGGCTCAGGAGGATTCGATTGGTAAGAAGGGCGTATAGGAAAGCTGAAGCCATGCTTATTAATCTGTTCCCAAATCCAAAAAGTGGCGCCCAAACTACATACTTACAGTCTTGATTTTCCGGCGGTAAATTATTATTTTTTCCAGATTCGATGAACTCTAAGCTTTTGTTATATGCTTCTGTATGCGGTCCACAGCGCCTGTGATGATCTTCATAGCTTCGTAACCTGGAGATCAGATAAGAAGAAGGCCGGCGCTTTAGTTCCTTAAGATATTGCACAGATTGGTACCTACTTAAACACGATTCTTCGTCAAATCCAGAAAGGAGAAGACCGCCCAGAAGCTTATCCAATTCCAGTTCCGGCACCTCATCACGCCGGAGAAGAGTTTCATTTTCTGAAATTATGGCAGGCAGCAAAAGGATGGAGAAACAATCAGGAGTTGAACTTAAAATTAACATACAGTACAGATTTTTGTTGAGATAAACCGGAACAAGAATAAAACAAGTAAAGAAAACAAGATTTAGGCCAAATTCAGGTTATAAGCTTGAAAAAACGTAACTTTTCATCACTTATCATCTTCTGGTACATTTTTACCTTTTGCTGGGTTGGAAACGGCGGAGGAGCAATCGAAAAGATGGCGTTGTTTCATTAGCAGGACGATCAAAAGCAGACCCGTTAGGTTCATCAACAAAGCAACCAGAATCCCCGCAGGTAGCAGCATCCCATGTTTCCACTTCCAAGCCTTAATGGCGATCTTGTCTGAAAGAGGAGGAGAAGAGTTGGGTTGATGATGATCAGACCAGCTCTTGTATAGCTTCATTTCTGAATCGAATTCAATTCTGATCAATTGATCAGAGTCTGCAAGTTCAAATTTGGAGTTGGCAAAGAACACAGCTGCAATTATGCTGCCATATATACATATATGATTTCTTTGGAGGGCCAGCATGGCCAGAATCGAGTCTCACCAAGAGCAGTGGGGGAGCAACCTTAAAGTGAGGGACTTCTTGTGCGCAATAAGCAAATATCTAACCTCTGTATTCAAACTGAGTTACTATGATTATATTTTTCCGGATGCTCTGTCAGGGTGGGGGCGTCGGACTCTTGGGATGGGAATTCAACCTTTTGAGAACAATGATTTCTTTGTTGTGGGAAGCCCTCGAGATTGGGGTATAATTCATTGTAAGATTAATCAATTTAAAAATTTTTCAAAATATACTGTGGATTTTATCTCCTGGCCTAAAAGTAAAAATAAACAAAAAAAATTAATACTACTGACTCTGTTAAAATGTTTATGATGTGCTATTATTTGTAATTTTTAATTAATCAAAATATTATGAAGTGATTGTTTAGATGAATGTTGTACTACTACAGGAAAATAGAAAACTATTGGGACACCTATATTTAGTTATTTATTTATATTTTGGAATTTACTCGTCCTTTAATAAATACGGTGACAGAAATATAAATTTTTAACTATATTGGGAATTGAAAATCCTTCTATATATTAAAGTCATATAACTATGGCCAATTAAATTGTTCATTTTCCTGTCCAAGTGAAACTACGTAGTTTTGATCATTGATAGTTTAACCTTTGTTAAATAAAAACGGTAGCGTTTAAGGCCTGTTTAATGAGAGCCGTATTCTTTGCGTAAAATGTTAGGTTATTATTACTTCTTTATCGGAAGTTGCTCAAACCCTTTTATTATTACTTCTTTATCAAAAGTTGCTCAAACCCTTTCGTATTTCGATGCCGGCTGCAATGTATCAATGCAGATATTATTAATAGGATACATTCAGGTCAAACGTTCATGGAGTTCTATAAATTCCATATTGTAGAAGTAGATTTTTTTTTTCATACATACATTACACAATTACTGAAGAAATATGAATGGTTAGTGTGATTCTCCAAGGATGACTGCAGAAGAGTACTGCGACGGAATAGGGCGGTAGTGAGGGAACCCAAGTCGTATTTGTACGATAGAGCCGGAATGGAGACCATGGTGTGACTCGCCTTTGGCAATGGTATGTGTTCAATTCCCAAATCTACTATTTCATTTATTTTGATTTACATGTGATGAACATATTGTGTGAGCAGATTTGTGAGTTGTTGCTTTGTATGTTGCGACGGGCAGAAGGTCGAGGCCGAATGTTGCGAAGGGGAAGGTGGAAATTGATCTGCGAATAGAATATGGATAGAGATTAGGAGGATGCTACGATTAACAGAGAAGCTTGGTTGCAATGTGCTGCAAGAGGAAACACACCTATGCAAATAGAGGTAAAATATAGACAAGATTATTTAAGTTATGTATGCATATTTTTTATGATTCTCTATAGTATACAGTGAAACGTTGTTCATGTGGTGAGAAGGCAGTCCGTCGCCTTCTCACCGGACAAGGCGACGTTTCGTTGTTTTTTGTTTTTTGTTTTGTTTTTTTTTTTTTAATTAATTAATTATTAAATTAATAAATTATTAATTGCAAGTTTGACCAGGTGGTGCAAATAGCAAAATGTACTCTCATTTGACTATTTACATCACCAATTAATTATTTAAATTTTCACTTTTTACAATTTCAAGATGTCTTTTGGTCAAAGGGTGGTGCAAATAGCAACACCCAAATTATATTGTTTTCGATGTTTAATGAAATTTAGGGTTCATTTATTAACTACTTTTCTGAAAAAAAAAAACAATTATAAACTGGAAAATGAAAATAGAAAATGTATTTATTAGCAATTCTTTTTAACTCAAGCAAAAACATAAAGTGGAAAATGAAGATTTAGATATCGAAATGAAAATTAGACAATATAATCTAATGTTAAAATGTAGTTTTGTTAACCGGGACGAGCTTAAGACCAATGCTTCTATCTTCACAGGGCTTCGCGTACGGAACAAGCGCCGCCTTGGAGGTATCGGCCGGGCGGATGAGGTAGCATGGATCCATGGAGGTGACGCGTATACACGGCGGATCTGGAACTTTCCGGTTCTTCGGCTCGAACATAAGCCATGAATGCAAACCTCCAAAACCCTGAGCTACATATCCAAAAGTTGAGCATCCACTCGTAACCAATCTATCGCTCATTCCGAGAAGATAAATCTCGGCCAACGCCTTCGAGTAGTGCAAGATTTCCGACCATTTCTGCTCTTCTTCGTGGCTGGGCTGGTGAACTCGGACCACCTCGCCGTTCAACGTTGGATGCTGCAAATACATGTCTCGAATCCTGTCGGCGTACCAGGAACTTAAGGATGTCATTAGAACAACTACTTTTGTTTTGTTCTTTCTGCTACTATTTATGTTGGGATCTTTTGGATTATTGATTATTTGTGGAAGAATGTTCTCCTTCATCGTACATCCTAGTATCTGATCCAACACGTGCTGAAACGGGCCCGGGCCGTCGAACACTCGGACCTGAAGCCCGATCTTCTCATCGGCTCCGGTGAGGTAAGCGTCATGGTATCTGGTAATCATCTCCCAGACAGGATTCGTGGGATGAAACAGGTACCGTGCCAGGAGGTGGAACACGGATTCCCTGTCGGGAAACATGTTTTCCAGAACTTTCTGGAACGATGGAATCTCGAAAAGAGACGGGATGAAGTACTCGTCTGTTTTTATAATCAGCCAAGGAATTTTCTGGAGAAACATCTGGTGTTCATCCTGGAAGAACAGTTCATCGTAACGGTCTTTATTATGGAACAGATTGTTGTAGACAAAAGGTGGTAATTGCGACACATCGGACCTGTCAATCAGTTTGTTCTTCACGATGTTTCCGTAGCAGTGTTTGGAGTTCTGATCAAATCCATTGAACTCGCCGGCCACCGGAAAATCCTCCGGGAGAAACAAGGAAGTTCCGGGGAACGGTTCGCAGAAGAGCTCCGGCACGTGATCCATCGGAGAAGCAAGAACCGTTCGGTTGGTGACAATGGCGTACAGGAAAGCGGTAGTTAAAGACAGGATTTTGTTTCCTAATCCATTAAAAGGTATCCAAATCACATACTTACAGCCTGTGTCGGGGAACGGCCGTTCACCGGACTTAATGAGTTCCACTGTTTTGTTATACGATTCTGTATATGGTCCGCAGCGCTTGTGAAGAGCTTCATAGCTTCGTAGCTTGGAGATCAGGGAAGAAGAAGGCTGGCGCTTTAGTTCTTTGAGATACAGCACTGATTCATACCTACTCAGACACGATTTTTCATCAAATCCAGGAAGGAGAAGACCGCCTAGTAGCTTATCTTCTGCAGCTATGGAATACAGAAACACAGGAAATTAAAGGGATTAATGCCTGCAAGAATTGAAATCATATCGAACTAAAGGCCTGTTTGACTGAAGAGTTTTAATATAATTTACCTTTAGGTGGGATGCCGGGAATCACCGGCGAGAAGCCATTGAAGAACGACCACACATTATATTGCCTGAAGACCAAATCCAGAACAGTAATGTTCAGGAATAAAGCAACTGGAATCACCAGCAGTAACAGACCACGTTTGCAGTAAGCTCCATTATTATCCTCAGGGGCGTGGTGACGATGATCTGAGTGAGGCTTGGGTTGATGATGATGATGATCAGAACTTCTTTTGTGTGGCTCCATTTCTGAATCAAATGCTAGTTGATGATCATCTGATGATCTCTTCATTCTTTATTTTTTAGAACATCTAAACAGCTTATATATGTTGAAAAGGTGAGAGTTGATTCTCATCTCATTATTCATCCACATATATAAACTCCTTTATCTAGCACCTACTTGTTAAACAAATTGAAGACATATAAAGTAGTAATTACAAACACAAAATTTCCACACTGCCGCGTTGAGATTTGATCTCCCAAATAATGCCTACTGAACTATTGAGCTAGGTAGGTGCAGACCAATTCTTAAGTAACTTAGAGATTATCTTGATCAGCCAGTCTCATGCCTAAGAAATTTCGGATTAAATTAATTAAAGAGTTAATTACCGAAATGGTCCTTTGACTATAGCGAAATTATCGATTTGGTTCTTGATTTTTTTTGATCAATTAAGTCCGTCAATTTTAAAAACCTTAACCAATTTGGTCTTTCGTTTTTTTTTTTTTTGGTCATTAGATATCCGTTAACTCAGAACCAAATTGGTAATTTTGCTATAGTCAAGGAATCATTTCGGTCATCACATGCACCATTTTCTCCGAAAAGTTAATTACTAAAATGGTCCATTGACTATAGCGAAATTACAGAAATTTGGTCCCGAATTAACGGATGTCTAACGACAAAACAAACGGATGATCAAATCAGTTAAAATTTTTAAAGTTGAGGAACTTAATTAGTCAAAAAATATAGTCAATGATCAATAGTAATTTTACTATTGTCAATGGACTATTTCGGTAATTAAGTCATAGTTAAATTTTGATTGGAGAGATTTTGCCTAACACTATGGGCCTATCATAGTATGATAGTATCATCGGGACCAAACCTAACCTCCACACATTAGATATCGTTCTGTCTATAAATTAAATTGTATTTAATTTATAGATTTATAGGGCAGTAAATAATTTAGGACCATATATGAGTCCGCATTTTCGTCCAAATTAAAAGTCCAAATATTCTAACCATTCATAGAATTTAAAGGTTTTTAGTTTTTCATTCTTAATTGTTTTGTCCTTTCATTGTTGTGCGAGGGTCAAATTGGTCCCTCACTTAACATAAGCTAGTCAATAAGTTCTTATCATAATGATTTTATTATAATTTGACTTTAATTTCATTCTTATTACAAGAAAAATCAAATTTACTAATAAAATTTTTTATAGGTAAATCATTGAAATATGTAAGTATTTAACTTGTAAGTTTTTAATTCATAAATAAATGCGTAGATATATATATTTAATTTTTTTCTTGTAGTGTCTTGAAGCCCTACTAACAAATTAGCAGCAGTTATACCATGGACTCGAGTCCACCTTACAAGGTGGATCCAGGTCCAAAGTACACAATTTACATACTGTTAAATGTTTTTAATTTGAATTGTGAACATTTAATATATAAATTGTGTAGATAAATTATGAACACTTAGTATGTAAAATTGTAAATATTCAACATATATATATAAATTGTGAATATTCAATATGTAAATTGTGTATTTTTAAACGCGGGTCTATCGTGCAAGGTGTGGACCCCAGAATAATTTGCCACAAACTAGTGACATGGCTTGGTGGCATTATTGTCGAATAAATGGGTATAGAACTCTAGTAAAAAATCTTTAGAACATTAATCTGCTGTAAATTGATTGACAAAATTAGCATACCTTTAATAATGTAATTAATATATTTTTGAGCTCTATTGCAGTGTAGTATATATTTAATATACTTTCTCTATCAATTGTAGCCTAAAGAGTTAATATATATGACATTCACTCAAAGAGAGCTACATGCTTGGTTATTTTTATTGGAGTTTAGTATTATTTATATTAGGAAAACCTTATTTAATAATATATATATATATATATATATATATATATATATATATATATATATAATTTGTACAGCTCTCTATAATTATTTTTTTAAAAATATTTCTAAAGTTTTCAATTACATTTATTGGGTACTAAGAGCTAACCCATACCCATGAGTGAGGCCCAATCCAAAAGAGAGTCTACTCTATGCCTCTACGGACTACGTATGGTGCACACGGTTGCAAAAATTATGTCGTTTTGACTAAAAACACGCGTCTCACTTAAAAAGAAAATTCAGTTTCGATTTCCGTCAACAACATTATGTTGTGCATAATTTGAATTATATAGTTCTGGATATTTAGTTCATTCATTCTGGATTTTTAGTTCATTCATTCTGGATATTTAGTTCATTCATTCTGGATTTTTAGTTCATTCATTCTGGATATTTAGTTCATTCATTCTGGATATTTAGACGGAAATTGAAACTGATTTTTTTTTTTCATTCATGTTGGATATTCATTCTGGATATTTAGTTCATTCATTCTGGATTTTTAGTTCATTCATTCTGGATATTCAAATTATGCACAACATAATGCTGTTGTCGGGAATCGAAATTGATTTTTTTTTTTTAAATGGGACGCGCGTTTTTAGTCAAAACGACGTCGTTTTTGCAACCGTGTGCACCATGCATGGTGCACACGGTTGCACAACATAATTTGCCATGCCTCTATGGCAACTTATTCAGTGAACCCGACTTTCAAATTAAATGTTCACAATTTATCTTTTAAAAATTTACAAACACTCAATGTTAACATATATGTAAATTGTGAACATTGTGTTTTGACTTAGAAACAAAATTTATATCCTAGAAGTTCACAAATTCAATACTAAAAATACATAATTTATACGTCATTTAGGACTAGGATCCGATATAACAACTCATGCCTCTATGGTACCCTGTCAGGAATAAGGGGAACTCAGCAACCAATTCCTATACTATGGATTGTGGTCCACCTTGTATTATGAATCCTAATCTAAAATTACTTCTTTCGCCCCATTTTAATTTGTTTGTATGGTTCAATTAATGAGGTTTGACTGAAGTTATTTTAAATTTAATTTTTCATAATATTAAGTTTATTGTTAGTATATAAAATTTATATATTTAGAAACTAAATGAATAATACTATTAAACACAAAAAATTAAATTTAAAAATAATTAAGAATTACTAAAGAAAATAAGAAATGAATAAAGAGTTAATTTGACCAATGAATAGTACACATGACATGAAAAATGAGATAGAGGGAGTATGTGTTTGTAATTAACATATTATTTACATTCAATTAATAAATTATGTGCATGTAAATAAATTGAAGACACATAATATGTATTTTCAACTTATTTACAGGCACATGATCTGCAGACACATAATATATTAAATGTAGACACATAATCTGAATATTGTTTTGGACTACGATCAATATAATAATGCAAGGTAGATCCTGGTCCATGATATAATTTATTCCCAGCACATTATTTATATATACACTTGTATATTATAAGTATTTACTTGTCATGTTTACTATTTATTGGTCAAGTTAACTATTTCTCATTTACTTATTTTTTTTTTAAATTTTATTTTTGTGTTTAATAATACTTTAAATGTAATTTTTAAATATATTAATTTTATATACTAATGATAAAATAATATTAGGAAAAATTGAATTGTAAATGAATTTAGTTCAGTCTCTGGCATAAATGAGATCTAGGGAGTATTATTATTATTATTATTATTATTATTTGAAATTGTGTTCATATTTATTAATGTTGTGTACATTAAATTAAAATATTTGAAAATTTCCACACTTTTTTATTTGATATCGGGATAAAGCTTAAGACCCCTAATTCTATCTTCACAAGTCCGCACGTGAGGAACAAGTGCCGCCGTGGGGTTATCTAACGGAGGACTATGGAAGCACGGCTCAATGGAGATGAACGGCCTGCACGGCGGATCTGGAACTGTGCGGTTTTCCGGCTTGTACATCAACCATGAACGCAAACCTCCAAGACCCTGAGCTACATATCCGAAAGTTGATTCCCCACTCGTGACCAATCTATCGCTCATCCCCAGAAGATACATTTCTGCCAATGCCTTTGCGTAGTGCAATCCATCGTTCTCTTTCTGCCGTTCTTCGTGACTCGGCTGGTGAACTCGGATTACCTCCCCAGTCTCCGTCGGATACTGCAAATACATGTCGCGAATCACGTCGGCGTACCAAGAACTCAGAGATGTTATCAGCACAGCTTTTGTCTTGTTCTTTTTGGCTATAATGTTGGATTTGGGATCATTATCGTCTGTGTTGATTAATGGGAGTATGTTCTCCGACATTGTACAACTTATGATTTGGTCCAAAACATGTTTGAACGGACCGGGTTCGTAGTCGAACACTCTAACCTGAATTCCTATCTTCTCATCGGCTCCGGCCAGGTAAGCTTGATGGTATCTGGTAATCAGCTTCCAGACCGGATTTGTGGGATGGAATAGGTACCGTACCAGGAAATGGAACACGGATTCTTTGTCGGGAAACATGTTCTCGACGTCTTTCTTGAAGGATTGCATCAGGAAAAGATATGGGATGAAATACTGGTCTGATTTCATACTCAGCCATGGTATTTTCTCCAGAAACTTTTGATCTTCATCTTTGAAGAACAGTTCATCGTAATGATCCATGTCGTATTTCAGATTGAGAAAGATAAATGGCGGAATTTTAGACTTGTCAATCAAATTGTTCTTCACCAGATTCCCGTAACAGTACCCGGAGTTCTGATCAAGTCCATTGAAGTAACCAGTAACCGGAAAATCCACCGGCAGAAACCAGGAAGTTCCGGGGAACGGTTCACAGAAGAGATCCGGCACGTGATCCATCGGAGCAACAAGAACGACTCGGTTCGTAACAATGGCGTATAGGAAAGCTGAAGCTAAAGACAGAATTTTATTTCCTAACCCATTGAAAGGTATCCAAATCACATACTTACATTCCTTGCCGGCGGCAAACGGCCGTTCACCGGACGTGATGAGTTCCACGGTTTTGTTATACGATTCTGTATATGGTCCGCAGCGCCGGTGGAGAGCTTCATAGCTTCGCAGCTTGGAGATCAAGGAAGAAGACGGCCGGCGCTTTAGTTCCTTGAGATACTGCACTGATTCATACCTACTCAGACACGATCTTTCATTAAATCCGGGATGAAGAAGACCGCCGAGTAGCTTATCGAACTTTGGCACCTCCTCCTCAGCCCGCGCCCGGAGACTGTCTTCTGAAACCACCGCCGAGACGCCATTGAAAAGCTGAGAATCTTTCAGAAGCCTGGAGACTGAAACCAGAGCCGACAGGTTCATGAATATAGCAACAAGAATCACCAGCGGCAGTAGCACCCCACGTTTGCAGTTTCGATGATTATTATCCTCACGGGGAATCATGTTTTGGTGATGACTATCAGAATCAGAACGACTTTTGTATAGCTTCATTTCTAAATCCAATGTTATACTATACTAGGTGATCATGATCTCTGATCTTCAACATTGATTTTTGCAAAAAACAGGTATGCTATGTTTTAGTACAAGAAAGCAGCTTATGTTGCAACTTGCAAGCTCACTATTCTCTTTGATTTATAAGAAAGCTCTAATCTCAACCTTCAAAGAATCACATAAAGTTGACTTAAAATCTTATAGTTATTAAGAATTATACTAAAAAAAATCAAAAAAAGAAAAAAGAAAAAAGTCTGATTGTATATAGTTTATCTGGTCAATGGTTTAAGTACACAAATTCTAAGTTCATAACTTAATAATTTAGGCCCTGTTTGGTAAAATGGCTGTTAGCTGATAGCTGTTTACTGTTAGCTGATTATGTTAATTAGAGAGTATAAACAGTTGATAATATTAGCTGATTGTAGAAAAGTGTTTGGTAAATTAGCTGTTAGCTGATAGCTGTTTGGTATAATTTCTTTTCTCAAAAAGCTAATTAAAAAAGTTGCTTGGAGTAACTTTTTGAATTTTAGCATTTTGAAGTTACAAAAAGCTAATTAACCAAACATTTATATTGATATTTTAACTAAATCAAACAATTAATAGTGATCAAAAAGTCAAAATTGGCCTATAGGCCAATTTTTTTACCAAACACGACCTTAATATTTTTTACCACTATGGACCTAAACCTAGTCTCCACACATTATTGGAAGGCACTGCACGCATCTATTGATGGTACCGGCCTGTGGTGCAATAAATTAATTAGGACCATGCTTTGAATTCTTAAATTGATAGATGAGGCGATTAATTATTCAGCGATTATTATTGACTAAATGTGATTTAGTCTTAATTCTTGCTTGAGTGTTTTTTTTTTTTTTTTTTTAAGAAAAATGTATTTTTATCCCATAAGTATGATGTTTGTCGTGTAGAGATATGTAAGTGGTGGTTTTATTATATATGACTTAATATAAATTTTAAAATAGATTAGGACATTGTCAATTCAAGCCATTTCCAGGCATAATTCTCCACGAATGACCATTGTCCTACAATAATAATGGTTATTATCTTACCATGAAGGGTAATTATCCTCCACTATGAAGGGTCCTAAACGGCCATGAAAGTGTGCACAACTCCCCTTTTACTATAAAAGACCATACAACTAAAGTGGAAGAAGACCATATATATTGTCATCATCCTCAAATCAACAAAAATTACTCCAAAAACTTCTACACCCCCTGCCCTAGATTCTATGAAATTATTCATAGCTCAAACTCTTTACAATTTACATAATCACTTCAAAACTATATATTGTGGGCAATGAGCAAAAGTCTAGTCTCAGTTGAACCATAGTCAGGGTGAGCAATTCCACCTTTCTGTCACAAAGATAGGCTAGCTTCTTTAACATCTCACCAAACTTCACCATTTTGCAAGTGCATATTGAAAATTCTAAACTAAATTTCATTGATTCAAAAAAAAAAAAAAAAAAAAAAAAAAACCTCAAAACCATAAAATTTGATCAAATTAACAAAATGATAGGGATATGTTTTTTTCATGACCAACATCTGAGTATCCTTATCAGTACATTAGCAATTCGTTGACTATTGACTCTAATTTAAGAATTAAGAATGTTTTTCAATACTGTTTGGTTATCCGGATAGAGCTTAAGACCCCTAATTCTATCTTCACAAGGTCTTACATAAGGAACAACCGTCATGGTGTGATCTAAAGGAGGAAGATGAAAGCACGGTTCCATGGAGATGACTGGTTGGCATGGCGGATCAGGAACAGTAAAATTCTCCGGCTTATACAAAACCCATGACCGCAAACCTCCAAGACCCTGAGCTACATATCCAAAAGTTGACCATCCACTTGTCACCAATCTATCACTCATCCCCAGAAGATACATTTCTGCCAATGATTTTATGTAGTGAAATTCATCCCAGGTTTTCTGGTATTCTTCGTGACTCGGCTGGAGAACTCGGATCACCTCGCCTGACAACGTTGGATACAACAAATACATGTCTCGAATCACATCTGCGTACCATGAACTCAGAGATGTTATAAGCACAACTTTTGTTGTCGTCTTGTTGGGTTTGGGTGTGGGATTTTCTTGATTTTTGATTAATGGCGGCGGCAATATTTTCTCTTCCGTTGTACATTTTACTATCTGGTTTAGAACATGGTCAAATGGGCCTCCTTCAAACACTCTGACTTGAATTCCTATCTTCTCATCGGCTCCGGCCAGGTAAGCCTTATGGTATCTTGTAATTAGCCCCCAGACCGGATTTGCGGGATGAAACAGGTACCGTCCGAGGAGGTGGAACACGGCGTCTTTCTCGGGGAACATCTTATCCAGATCTTTCTGGAAAATTGGCATCAAGAAAAGAGATGGGAGGAAATACTCGTCTGACGTTATAGATAGCCATGGAATTTTCTGCAGAAATATTTGATCTTCATCTTTGAAGAACAGTTCATCGTACTGATCCATTACATATGTGAGACTGAGATGGATGTAGCTGGGTGGCCTTTCAGACACGTTTAACCTGTTAATCAAATTGTTCTTCACCATACCCCCATAACTAAAAGACGAGTTGTGACTATATCTGTAGAAGTAATCCTTAGTAAGCGGATTATCTTCCGGCAGAACCCATGAAGTTCCGGGGAACGGCTCGCAGAAGAGATCCGGCGTGTGATTAAGAGGATCAACGAGGAGGACTCTGCCGGTAAGAATGGCGTATAGAAAAGCCGAAGTCATAGTGAGGATTCTGTTTCCCAGTCCACTAAAAGGTACCCAGACCACATACTTACATTCTTCGCCGCCGACGACGTCGTCGGCGAACCGATGATGTTTTCCCGACGCGAAGAGTTGGACGGTTTTGTTATACGCTTCTGTGTGGGGCCCGCAGCGGCGGTGAAGAGCTTCATAGCTTCGTAACCTGGAGATCAGGGAAGAAGAAGGCTGCCGCTTTAGTTCCTTGAGATACTCCACAGATTCATACCTACTTAAACACGATCCTTCATCAAACCCAGAATGCAAAAGCCCGCCGAGAGGCCTATCCAATTTTGGCGCCCCGTTTTTATTATCGCTTCCAGCATTATTGGCGGCCATGGCGGAGAAGCCATAGAAAAGCTTTGGTTCTTTGGGTATGGTGAAGAGGAAAAGCAGTAGCCCCGTTAGGTTCATCAACAAAGCGACCAGAATCCCCGCCGGTAGCAGCAGCGGCAGCCCACGTTTGCAGTTTCCGGCGGCGATCTTGTTTTGGTGGTGATGATCGGACCAATTCTTGTAGGGTTTCATTTCTGAATGGAATGGTGATCATGATCCGTATGGAAAGTTGGTATGGTACGGTGATGAAATTTTCCAGAAACCAGTTACCTAATTATGGATTTATGGCATCAATTCTTATTTGGAAATTTCTTTATTATTGAATATTGAATGATATATTTAATTTAATTTTGCAATATTAATATTACCTTTTATATATTTTTACCTCTTAATTACACATTATTTGGAAATTATAAAGTGTTTATTTGATCGAGATGGGAGCAATAGCTTGGGAAGGGAACTTTTGAAAATGGGTAGACAAATATGAGAATGTTTTCAAGAGTGGACAAAATTGAAGGAGGGATTACCATTTTTTGCAGAGAAAACGGTAATCTCATTGAAATTTTCTCTTTCAAAAAATTTGGTAACATAATAATGCATGCTTAATTAGTAATACCTTGAATTAAGTCAATAATAATTAATACAAAATATAATGAATTTGATTTCATGTGAGCAAGATTAATCAAATTAATGATTTAGTAAAATAATTTGATAATTGTTATTAATGTTTGTATTTTTCTATTCTAGAATTACTCTCTTTCTTTCATTTTTTTTTTGATACCATTACCCTCTTAAAATAATAATAACTGCCTTTCACTGCCAAGTAATTTGTAATTCAATGGCATAATTCTCTCAAATGAAAGGTCGCATGCTCTAACCTTAATGGGAGCACGAGAAGGAGATTGCAACTCTTCTAAATTTACCATACCCAACATTATGACTACCTCGATTTCTCCTATGAAATTTATGTACATTAACTAAGATGTTTTGCACTGAATCTCAATTTTAATTTGATACGTAAATCTCCTAATGTCTATCAGTCTATACGCACGTACTACTACAAATTTGGCGTTTTCCGTGGTCGGAAAACTGACGAAAATGGAATTTCCGACCAATTTTTCTACCGTACCGGTGCCGGCGTCACGGCGTGTTTATGAATTTGCATGTCTTCTGTTATTCTATACGTACATATACATATACATAATATATCTATGCCGCGATGAGCTTAAGCCCCCAGCTTCTGTCCTCACAAGGCTTCACGTGAGGGTCGGCGCCGTCGTACGACGGCGGGTCATGGAAACATGGTTCCATGGACATAGCTCGCCGGCACGGCGGATCAGGAGCCGTCCGGTTCTCCGGCTTGTACAAAATCCATGGCCGCAAACCTCCAAGACTCTGAGCCACATATCCAAACGTAGACCATCCGCTCGTAACCAACACATCAGTCATGCTAAGAAGATAAATCTCCGACAACGCCTTCATGTTGTGCCTCAGATTCTCCGTCCGCTGATACTCCTCGTGACTCGGCTGGAAAATCCCGACCACCTCGCCGGTTAACGTCGGATGCTCCGAATACATGTTCTGGATCTGTTCCGAATACCACGGGCTCAAAGATGTCACCAGCAAAGCTTTCTTCTTCTTCTTCTTAATATTCTCAGCGATGGGAGAATCTTCTTGATAGACTTGTGGCAGTATATGTTGTTTCATAGTACAGCTTATAATTTGGTCTAGAATATGTTGAAAAGGACCGGTTTCTCTCTCAAAAACTCTGATCTGAATCCCTATCTTTTCATCCGCCATGGCCAAATAAGCTTGGTAGTATCTGGTGATGAGCCCCCAGACCGGATTCGTGGGATGGATAAGGTACCGTCCGAGGAGGTGGAACACGGAATCTTTGTCGGGGAACATGTTCTCCAAATCTTTCTTGAAAGATTGGATCAAGAAAAGAGATGGGACGAAATATTCATCAGTCCTCATTACTACCCAAGGAACTTTTTTCAGAAAAATTTGTTCTTTGTCGCTGTAAAATAGTTTATGGTGCTGATCAATGTCATATATAAGATGGACATAAATGAAAGGTGGAATAATCGCAGAAACATTATGCTTGAGGATGTATCCATGGCAGAAAGTGGAGTTCTGATCAAAGCTTTTGAACTGATTAGCAATGGGGAAATCTTTGGGAAGATACCAGGAAGTGTTGGGGAAGGGTTCACAGAAGAGATTGGGAAGAATGTGGTTTCCAGGATCGACGAGGAGGACACGGTTGGTAAGAACGGCGTAAAGAAACGGCGACGCTAGCGTCAAGATTCTGTTTCCTAAACCGCTAAAGGCTATCCAAACGAGGTAATTACATCCATCGGAGCGGTTATTATTGCCGGCAGAGTTGATGAGTCGTCCAACGTTGTTCTTATAGGAATCTGTGTGCGGTCCGCATCGCCGGTGGAGAGCTTCGTAGCTTCGTAACCTGGAGATTAGATAGGATGAAGGCTGACGCTTCAGTTTCTTGTGATACAATACTGATTGGTGGCGGCTTAGACAGGATTTCCGGTCAAATCCAGAAGGGAGAAGTCCGGCGAGAAGGTTATCTCCGGTGGCGTCGTTTGGCCGGAGAATATGATCATCATCTTCCATAACTATACGGGAATATAACAAGAAAAGATTTAGGGAAAAGAAGGGAGGCAAATCATATCCCAAGAAAAAAACAGGGTACCTTTCGGTGGTTTAACTCGACTCCAGACACTATCGGAAGACGGCGGGTCTCTGAGAATCAGAAACGCCAGAAACAGAAGCGACAGGAGAAGAGCCACGGTGGTTTTCACATTCAGCCCACATTTCCATTCCAGGCCCGATGAAATAGCGTCGCCGTCGATATGATCGGAACTTCTCTTCATCTCCTGCACCACTTGGGGTAGAGGCAAATGACTGCGCCGGCGAGGAAGTATGCACTGAAAGGCGGAATAACGGTGGGGCAGTGGCGGAGTGAGAGATGAGATCGAGATTGAGCGTAGCGGCGGGGCGGGGCGAGGTGTTAAGGTTGACCGGCCAATCCGGTTGCGCTTTGGGCGAGTGATGATTGGCTGCTGCTATTCAAATCACAGATTCTATGCAACATCTTGGAAAGTCAACAGACATTATATTTTTACATGTACTAATTTTTTACGGGTTAAAAATATAAATAGATAAAACTTTTAAAAAAATTAAACTTAAATAAATTTTGTATTTATAACGACGAACTTGACTGTTATTATAATTTTTCGACTTCCACCTCACCTAGCTGCATCAAAGTATGAAATTCCGGTGGCTGCTAAACGACGACGGAGAAAGACAGAAGAGGGCGGCGGCTTTGGGAGAATAATAAACAAAGAAACGTGTCAAATTAAATGATTTTTAAGGCTAATAATGTGTTACGACGAAGTTGTCAAATTTTGAAATTTTGGTTTTGATCACATTTACTCAAACAATATTTTAAAGATGTTTGAAATTTCTAAAACACATTTTAAAATTTTGATTTAGGCAAGATTTGTTCGAAGATGATGTTTCAACTAGTCAATACACGCAATCTTCTTGTATAGCATGCTGGACAAGTTTCTGTCACCAAGTCTTGTATCACTTCTTGAGTCACTCCATGGGTTATATATACAAACAACCGTAGAATTTAGTAGTTGGCCTAATAACTAATATTCCATCACCAATCACTAATTTATTAGTGACATGTAAAGAATATTGATAACCTTTTTATTTGACTATATATATTTTGTCTCTTTATTTTAATCAATTTTGTGTATAATTTGACTTAGAAAGTTGTGAATATGAACTAATTCATGTGTCTTTATCTATAGTTGTACGGAAAGGGAGCATATTGGAGTGATTTTAACCGATTGTGGAGTTGAGAAGTTTATTGAATAGGAGAGGAGGACGCACGCGTTGGAGCAGTACGAGAGGAAGATCGCGCTGAAATGGACGAGGCAACTCTCTGAATGGCAGGAGCACGAGCATCATCAGTCGTCACGCCCGTGAACAAGCCCGTCTTTGGGCACAAGTGGCGAGATGCCCGTGAAACTGCTGTTCACGCAAACGGGCTGGGATACGCCTTTGTCGTGGCACATGTGCATGTCCCTTTTATGTGTTTTATTTTGTATTTTCAAACTGGAGTAAAGGGATTATATTCGAACCTAGGTAGTAAAGAGATTTGTCCTTTCATTTTCAATGAAAAATATTCTACTGAGTACTGAAAATAGATATCTCTACACTATTGCTACTTTACTTTTGTGAAAAGGAAAATGATATATGTATCCCATGGAGTATAAATTTCCGCCACGTGTACCAATGAATTCAAGTGCATGAAGACAAACAGTGGCCCACTTTGTTATTTAAACCAATCAGATAATGACATTTCTGCATGGAGTACAAAGTGGGAGTACATGTAGTATTACTCTTGTGAAAATTACAATGACGATTCAATTCCAACAAGTTTGATTGAATCATTTCCTTTTGAAGATAAGTCTATTCATTACTTTTCTTTTAATGCTTTAATGATAATATCTTTTATGTGTGTTTTTTACTTTCTTTACCATCAATATATATGAGTCTTATTCGCGATTATCTTGCTCTAGTCTCTTGTTCGCTTGTTGCTTAACTTTCAATTGCCTCTTAATCCTTGTGCCTACTCATAACTTAATCAATCTCACGCCATAAAAGTTATTCCCAGAGGACGACAAATTCATATCCCAATTCTTTGTAATTCCACTATACATAACAATATAACATCACGATCAAATATCATAATCATGAAATAGATGAAAGATACTTAAAAGTATGGAATAACTTAACAAGGTTATCACATTTTTCTTCTACTAACAACTCATGAAAGCAATCTCTTATCGAAAATCTTCTAGTTTAAACGAATAAAACTTTTTATAAGAGATCTCGAGACTGAATCTCTTATATCTTAAAGCGAACTCCCCACCTGAATTGAGCTCCACCCAGGAATTCTTCTCTGTTTCATCTCATCTCTAAGCTTCACTTTCTCCTCCCACATGCCATTGCCAGCACAGATATTAGACATCACAACATCATCCCCAGCAACACCCTCCTGCAATTCAATCAGCCTAGAGTGAGCCACTGCTGCAAGCTCAGCATTGCCATGAATGCCACAAGACCCTAACAGTGTTCTCCATATCACACCATTTGCTCGAATCGGCATTGCCAGAATGAAACCGTACGCTTCTTTTAGCAGCCCTCGACGACAAAACAGATCCACCATGCAGCCATAGTGGGAGAGTCTTGGCTCTATGCAGTATTCTTGAACCATGCTTCTGAAATGCCTCTTGCCCTCTTCCACCCTCCCTGTGTGGCTGCAAGCCATTAGAACTCCTATGAATGTAACGTCGTTAGGGACAACTAATCTGCTCTTGAACCTGCGGTTTTTGTGTAATCTTGATGATCTGTTTTCTTCTTCAATGGCTGCAAATAGCCTCAGTGCTTCTTCTGCCTGGCCATGCAATGCAAGGCCAACAATCATGGAAGTCCAAGTTGTGACATCCTTTTCCCTCACACCATCAAACAGTATCTTTGCAGCTTTGACATCCCCGCATTTGACATACATGTTTAAGAGGGCATTGGCCATGCGCAAATCTGAATCCAACCCATATTTTCGACGAATGTAAGCATGAATCTGCTCTCCCACATCCAGTGCACCAGCATCAGCACACGCGGACAGCACAACCGTGAGAAGGACCTGATCAGGCTCCACATTTGCCATTACCATTTGCCAGAATACCTCTAAAGCTGCATCGGGTTTCTGGTTTTGAACACACGCAGTTACTAACGAAGTCCAGCACACGACATTCTTGCTAGGCATTTCATCGAACACCTTGCGTGCACCCTCGAGATTTGCAGAAGCAGAGTACATATCCATGAGGGAAGTTTGGAGGAAAACTATGGGTTCAAAACCTAGTTTAATGACAAAACCATGGAACTGCTTTCCTTCATTAAATAAGCATTTCTGGGTGCAAGCTTTGATGACATATAAGAGAGAGTAGCTATCTATCCAAGAAATTTTTTTTCTCAGCAGCTCATGAAACAGCAACAGTGCTTTGGTAGGATTAGTTCTGAGACAGCTTTTTAGATTGAGATTAGCTCTTCCTGGTTTAAGATGAGTATGGAAATGGGTTTTGTGTGATTTATTGTTAGCTATAAAGTTACTCACCCTTTTACAAGTGAATAGGATCAAGAATCTCCTCATTTGGTCACAGATTTCTGATCATGGGGAAAATAATCACAAGGTGTTTGCTGTTTTTTTTTTTTATACGTCGATTCCCAACTTACACCAGACTAATCCTAAGTCCCTAGAACTCTTGTTCAAGAACCGCTAAAAGAGGTAAATGTCTATACACTCTACACACAAGGGGTCTTCATTACCTACCTCTTATCGGTTAAGGTGGGACCCTCAGATTCCTAGTGGAATTCAAACCTCCACACTAACGCTGGAGCAAGACTTTTAAGGTAATCGGTCAAACCAACTGAGTTAACCCGAGGTCAGAGGTCCCAAATTACTTCTTTATAAATGCATAGAGGTCCCAAATTCAAAGTCTATAAGAATATACACGAAATTAACTAAGAGTCTACCTATCGAGAAATTGATAAAGTATAAAGACAGAAGCGGATAATTAATATATGAGAATATTGTCTTTAATACATACATTATAATAATAAACAAATAGTTCATTTTCCAGTTGAACCCGAGACGGACCAGCCCATATGGGTCGTGCTGGCCCATTTTGACGGCTCTAAATGTTCATACCCAATCTTTATGGGCAAACTCCATCAACTTGTAACTTAGCTTGCCCAGTGATCCCATCAAGCATCTCATATATCAAATGTGCATGCTTGTGAGTTGTGTCACCAGCCAGAAAACCATGGCTGACACCATCAATTTGGATACAACTTTGGCCTGGAGGCTTCCTTGCTCTCATCTCAAACATCTTTTGTCTCACACTAGCCACAGATTGCCATCTCTTCTCAGAAGCATACACATTTGCCAGGAGCACAAAGTAGCCAACAGATCTTTCGGGTTCGAGTTCGATGACAAATTTTCGTGCAATGTCAGAGGCAAGCTCTGCATTTTTGTGGATCCTGCAGCCCCCAAGAAGGGCACCCCAGACAGCATTGTTTGGCTGCATAGGCATGTTCTCGACCAGGGTTTCTGCCTCGTCGAATAGTCCAGCTCGACTGAGGAGATCGACCATGCAGCCGTAGTGCTGTATCCTTGGCTCCACACCCCATGATTCTGTCATGGTTTTGAAGTAAAAACGCCCCTCGTTGATGTAACCGGCATGGCTACACGCACATAGTACACCCAATAGTGTGATTTCGTCTGGCTTAAGTTCACCGTTCCTCATTTTCTTGAATAGTGTAAGGGCCTCTTCTGCATACCCTTGTTTGGCAAAACCTGTGATCATACTTGTCCAAGAAACTGTGGTTCTGATTGGCATGTCCTTGAATACCTTAAAAGCATCCTTAATTTCGCCACAGCTAGAGTACATATGTATGAGTGCATTGTTGAGTGACACCAGCACTGGTCCCTTTTCTGCACTGGAAGAAGAAGCTTCAAGAACATATGAATGTATCCATCTGCCCAGATCCAGAAAAGCCATTTCTGCACAAGTGGAGAGCACTGATACCAGTGTTACCTGGTCGAATTCCACGCCGTTCCTCCGCATTTCATGGAAGAAAGACAATGCTTCTTTGCATCTCTCATTCTGTGCACATCCTGCAATCATGGCGGTCCAGGAAACAACATTCCTCTCTGGCATCCCATGGAAAATTCTGCGGGCTTCATCAACATTTCCACACCTAAAATGCCCAGAGATCAATGAATTCCACGCCACCACGGTTCTGTCAGTCATTTCATCAAACACCTTCTCCGCACTACCAATTCCATTGACTGAATAAAAATTCACCAGATTAGTCTGAACAAACACATCTGAGAAATACCCGTTTCTCATGATCTTCCCGTGAACCTGCTCGCCTTCACTCAGAAGCACCCCTTTTGCACAACCATTAACCACATACGAGTATGTATACCCGTCAGGTACGGCTAAGGATTTTCCCATTTTCTGAAAATGCAGAACAGACAGCCGCGGTTGTTCACCATTGGCATGACCTCTGATGATTTGATTCCAGAGAATAGTACTCGGGTTTCGGACAAATTCAAAAACTTTGGTGGCATATGCCAGTCTATTGTAGATTATGTAGATCGATAGCAGCTTTCCAAGAATGAAGTTTTTCTGGGCGAGCCCGTTGGTGATGATCTGAGCGTGGATTTGGGTCAGCTGTTTGATGGTTTTGCAGCTTTGCAAGAAAGAAAACAGACGCTGTTGCCGCGCTCTGACGCCACCGTGCTCGGCGGGAATGCACTGTTCAGCTAACATTCAACGACTCGATTAGAAGTTTTATCGGAGAAGACAAGAATTAAAAATCTGGGATTAGGCTGCAATCAATTCAACAGCGATGCAACACTTTTAGGATAGCACTTATTAGGATATATAGGTGCTTACTTACCACTAGTAGCGAAAATCCAATTTTATTTCCATCACATTTTAAACAAGTAAAATGTTATACTTGATTTTGACAGGGGTCCAACAATTTTCATAATCACCAATTGTCCGCTTAAAAAACACAATTAAAACTTACAATTTTATTGAAAAGATCGAATCTTTACTCAGTTAAGCTAATTGAGTCATTGAAAAGATCAAATCTTTACCCAGTTAAGCTAATTGAGTCATCAAAAACAAAAAAGATTGCAGCATAGACAACTCAATTTGTTCTTAATTATAGATTCTTGATACAAACAAATGATCCAATCTACAACTGCAGTGTGAGAGTTACAATTATTATGGTGAGCTCTTTATAAGCACCAAACATAAGTGCTCTCCACTAACGAACAGTTAATTACACTGACGTATCTCTCCACTATTTTGTCAAACTAAAATAATGAAATTTTGCCATTGTTGCAAAAAAAGAGAGAGCTTTTATATAGCACGTGGAGTTTACAAAAGCGCAAATTATTGTCTCCTAACAGCAGATTTAACGTAACCCAGTTTGAAGAACACATAATCTGCCGCAAATGACCAGTCATTACCATGAATCCTGCCGACCTGCGAAATCTGCCTATGCAAAAACACATAATCAGAAGACCGGTTAGGTCTGCCACGAAAGTTCGGTAAAACCGAACACTTTGCTGGACGCAACCAACGCACACATAAAGGAAAGATATCTGATCTAAGGCAGAAAATTAAAGCAGAGATCAGAGATTCAAAGTATGGGTAAGGGTAAGGGTAAGAGCATTATGGTGAGTGGTGGAGATGGTGGCCATGGCAACAACACCACTCATCTTCCTGCAGATTCCAGCACAGTTAGGATTCTTCTTTGTGACACCAATGCTGACAGTTGCCGCCATGTTTTCCACCTCCTAACCCAGTGTTCTTACCAGGGTAAGCAGACAACGTTGTTTTCTTGTTTTTTTTTTTTTTTTTTTTTTTTTTTTTTTTTAAACAGTTTTAGGATAAAATATGTGTATGCAGTTGCGCTGGTCACTTCAAGAGCACAATTGTTTGATACGCTGAGATCTGAGGGTTCTTGTATGGACATCATTCTTGTCGAAATCGCGATTCTTATCGCGAATGAATCGAGTATTATGAGGTATATCAAGAGGGACGTTAGACTGAAACATGTTCCGGTGATTAGTAAGTGCTTGTTTGATCTTGAACTTGTCAAAAAAGATGTGTTTTTTCTTGATCAATAATTGAAGCTAAGCCAATCTGGGTTTTGGTTGTTATTTTTGGCAAGTGATGGTGACAAATGAAGAGGTATCCCTTATCCGGAAGGGCTTGGGATTTGGAGCAGCAGACTATCTTGTTAAACCACTCAACATTCATGAAATCAAGGATTTGGGGTTTCACATCAAGAAAAACTAGTATACTCAAATTCAGCCATAACCCTAAATAAGCTTGTATTGATGATTGATCTTTCATTTGACATGCATTGTATTATGAACTATGAAATGTTTTCATTTAGTAGATATGCTTAAGTTGCTAGCTAGTACATATACATACATGGGTGGACGTGCTGGTGCGGGGCAGGGCGGGACTACTTCTTCCCAAACTCAGTCTCCACGCATTATCTGATCTAAATCTTACATAATTTTACTTTCTATTGGAATAGAAATATAGGTAACCCTACGATCTTGCAATTGTTTCTAATTGCAACTATATACAGCAAAGTAATAATAATTTTCAGTTCAACAAGTCAATTTTGAAAGATTGCGATTCTAAAAGTCCAATTACAAGTCGGTTAAAGTGGGTCCTCTTTGTTCTTTCCCTTTTCTTTTGTTGACATTTTCAACACTTTTGTATAGTATTTTTTTTAATAACAAATTCGAATTGTATAAATGCAGAGAAAATAATATGGTTCATTGATTAAACTGCAATGGGTTTTGAGCATAGTTGATAAGCCATGCGTATTGGTTGGTGAGAACTGAGAATGGAATATATTATCTAACTTAATTATATTATAAATATATTAATATTAATTTTCAGTTAATTAGGATGTAATCATGTATAGTGACCCATCACCTGTTTCTATATACTTCAACTCTTGACCTAAACAATTAGACTCTCTAACTAATCAACCAAACACCCCTTAAGTGCTTTGGATAAAGATTGCATACTAACCTCATTATAGCCATCGTACGTTCATCAACTTCCATTCTATACTATAATTAATTTAACTAATTTCCAACCGAATTTATACATGAATTGCTAAATCCTAATTAAAGGACCAAGCAACTTGCACTCAGATGGCACCTTCCGTGACTTTCCCGAGGAGAAGATTACAGGATCAAACCCCGGTAACAGATACTATCTTGTAATAGAGTCCGAATGTTTTTGGTCGATTGAAACAAGATAGATGAAATTTTCGATTCTTAGCAACATCTATCTTCCTGGTCGAACTCATCGCATACCTGGTGTACACCAAGATAGTGACGGTAAATTTCTCTCGTCACCTAAACTGTACTGTCTTAGCCATTCTAATAAGAGTAATTTCAAAATTAAATTTGTTCAATTAACATATATATAGTATGAAAGTGACACGTCAACAAATTTAAAACCTATATGATTTGGATAAGTTAAAATGTAGGAAATTCAAATTAGAAGCTCTAGAGTTCCAATTGAAGCAATCACATGCGTACCAAAACTTCATTATCCAATTTTTGGTAGTTAATGATCACAAAATAAACATAAAAATTAAGCATAATATATAGGAAAGAATAACTTGATTTGGGGTGTTTATACACATGATGCCAAAACATGAATTGGAGAACTGAAATTACCCTTTTCCCCACTTTCACTCATAAATCAATTAAAGCAACCAAAGTAAGGAACATAAATAAAATAATTGGTTTTTATTGTTCCTTGCATTTTATTCTAAGTTACCTAAAAGGCTCTCTTTTCATCAGCAAGCCATGAAACCCCCCAAACTTGTTGCAAACCTACTCAAGTCAAATGCTTTAATTTCATATATATATATATATATATATATATATATATATATATATATATATATATATATATATATATATATATATATATATATATATATATATATATATTTGGATAACGAATGGTTGAAAATTAAGAAAAAATGTGGTGGTAGCATTATATTTGGAATCCATTCGTGGATACCTTCTGTAATAGTGCACTAATGTGTGTGCACTATTAGTTATTCGTGAATGCACTATCAAGCGTCTCCAAATCCACCATTGTAATTACAAAAATATCATTACCCTTTTTTCTCATTTTGAAATTAATTCCAGCCCTTGATCATTTTAAATGGATGGATGTGATTAGTTCGCACATTCTCATGGTACTATTAGTTCTCATATAAACGTGATTGTATATAGACATATTTTTCAATGTCAATTGTGAGTAAAAATGACAAGAACTTTGGTAATAATTTAATACCCTGATTACGGCACGGTGTTGTATAGGGTTAGAAAATCTAATCGTTAATAAATAATTTCTAATTCACAAGATTTTCTTTTTTTGAATAATAATAAAAGGAGATGAACCCAAAAGTTAGCCAACTAATTAATGTGAGGATTTGGAGATCACAAAGACAGCAAACACAATGAGAGACCAAACAAACTGAGACTGGTGAAAACAATGCCTCTAAGAACAACTCCTCTATGGGATGAGTTTTTGTTTAAGTCATTAGTTGTTGGCCAATCTATTCTCTTCCTTACACCAACTCTCCAAACTTTCTAATCTACCTTCCAACAATACATCGTATTCAAATATAAGAGGAACACACACAAAACCTCAATCCCAATTCTCATATCTTCTTCTTCTTCTTCTTCTTTCTTGTCTGAATGCAAGAATTCTCAGCAGCAGGCATGGAAAGTGCGGCCAAGATTTTCAGGAGATCAGTCTTTTGCTTTCTGCAGAAATTTCAGTTCTTTACAACAACTGCAGTGGTTCTTGCATTTCCATATGCGGCCTCAGTTCTTGTGTTTCAGTCCTTTGTTCCTTCATCGCCTTTCCTGGCGATGATCCATGCCAGAATTCACACGCTCTTTGATGCAGCAGGGTTTCCTTCTTCCTCAGAATTCTTCACCATCCTCAATCTCAAGCTGTCTCAGACTGTTGCCATTTCTTTTCTGGCCTTGCCTTTCACTCTCTCCTTTTTTCTCCTCAGCAAAGCTTGTGTGATTCAAGCTCTGGGTGATCAAGAACTGCCCAAAAGATCTCTGTTTTCTTGTCTCCCCAGAATTCACAGTCCTCTTCTCCTCACCCAGCTCTGCAATTCCTTTCTAGTTCTTTCTGCAAATGCTACTTGCTTTATTCTGCTACTCTTTGCCTTCAATCTTGCTGATGAATTTGGCTTTTCCTCTCCAAGATTCGAGCTTTTCCTCTCGGTATCAGGAGCTTTGCTTTGCTCCATAATTCTTGCAAATACTTTCACCATCTGCAACCTGGCATTGGTTTTATCAGGGAGGGAGGCAACTGGGGGGTTTACTGCAATCCTCAAAGCCTGTGTTCTTATCAAGGGAAGAACGGGGACAGCTTTGTCGTTAGCCCTGCCGATTAACATGGCCATGGCTGCAGTTGAAGCTCTGTTCCAGTACAGAATTGTGAGAGTTTATCATCATGCAAAAACTGGGATTTCTTCTGTGGCTTTGGAAGGGATGTTGATTGCCTATATGTATGCAATCCTTCTGGTTCTTGACACCATTGTTGTCTGCTTTTTCCTCAGAAGCTGTGAAGGAGACTGTCACATAGACCAGTATAGAAGGTTGCCTTCCCATGTTGAAATTGAAGAAGATAACAATGCTTTCAGGACTGTAAAGATTGTTGAAGATCTTCCTTGATACTTTGGGGTTCTTTTCCTCTTATTTTTTTCTTTTTTTTTCTTTTCAATTTCCGGTTTGGGTATCGGATTGATTCTCTATTTGATTCATTTCCCAAATGTATCAGACAATAAACAGATGTCTGCAAAGTAAATATTGATGGAACATTGAATACAGAAGAAAATCTTTTGCTCTTAGACCATTTTAGTTAGTTATGATTCATTTGACATCCTTGGTTCCTTTATTGCTCTATATGATACGGAGTATTATTATTATTATTTTTTGGGTGTAAGAGGGTTTTCATTGTCACAATGACTAATTCTCTCGCTGAAATTGTAGGTACTTTTAAAAATAGGACAACTGAATTGTAGGTACCTCTAAAAATAAGACAACTATATGATAGATCACAATTTACCTAACGGTAGTTACTGCGAGTTTCCTAGTTCCTTCATCACCCAAAAAAGACATCGGAGGTGCTTGGTAAATAGCTGTTAGTTGTTAACTTTCCTAGTTCCTCACCCAAAAAAGACATCGGAGGTGCTTGATAAATAGCTGTTAGTTGTTAACTTGTTAGTTGATTGGGTTTGTGGATTTGAGTAGTTTATATTGTAGAAAGATGTTTGGTAAATTAGTTGTTGGCTTATAGCTGATTACATGTAAAATGACTTCTCAAAAAGCTATTTTGAGTAGCTTTTTGAATTTTAACATTTTAAAGCAATAAACTGTTACAAAAAACTAATTATTCAAATACTTATGAATGTTTAACCAAGTCAAACAGCTAATAGTGATCAAAAGGCAAAATTAACTAAGTCAAACAGTTAACAGTGATCAAAAGGCAAAATTAACTGATAAGCTAGCTGTTTGGTAACAGGGTCATCATGTCTTCTGCAAGTTTCCCAGTTCTCTCGTCACCTAAAAAAAGACATTGTCTTCTGTTTATCAATGGTAGTGACTATGGGTTTACCACTGTCTTCTGTTTACCAATGGTAGTGACGATGGGTTTACCAGTTCCTTCGTTACAAAAAAAAAAAAAAAAAAAAAAAAAAAAAAAAAAAAAAAAAAATCCTTTCTATATAGTATGACAAACGATTTTTTTACTTGAAACAATAAAGCTACAAGTCTATGGCACTCCAATCCCTTTGTGGCAACAAAAGAATGGGGTGGAGAAACCATTAGCTACATGCTAGTAAAGTAAAATTTCACAACTTTGACATTAAAACATGATTCAAAAATGAAAAGAGTATCCATTACCTTTTCTCTTATTGCTTTCTTTTCTTTTTTTATACTCTTGGTTATCCAGCTACCTCCACCAACCTCTCCTTTCTATTATTAGATTGCGGTTATAACAGTTTTCAACATAAAGTACAGACTTTCAGTCTTACAATGTTGTCAATCTATCTTCTTTCAGAAAGTCCATTCAAGTAAAGCTATACAGTGGTGAGGATGGAGATGATGATGAAAACGTCAAGTGTAAATGAAGAAAAAAAAGTTGAAATGAAGATTTAATCAGTAATCATAATCACTTTTTCTTGAAGATCAGAAAGAATAAAGCAGAACCGGCTCCTGCAGAGTTTCTCATACTTGAGCTCATGGAGATGTCGGCTTCCTTTTGGGTATCGCCAACTTTGTGCACTCTAACACAAAGCTGAGGCTCACATTTCCTCCCCTCGTTGATTAGCCATTCTCGTATGCCAAGTGATGTTAATGAACCGTGTAACTACTTCCCGTTTCTCCTAACTGAAAAACATCATTTTATGGTATTCAGTCAAGAGGTCTCATGTGGAATAGCCATTTTAATGGTTATTTTAAAAAAAAAAAAAAAAAGTGTTCACTTACCTCTCTGGAACCATGATCGACGAACTGCTTGGCGGATATGACGCTCATGTTTTTCCAATAGCTCATCGACTCTATGTGATTGAGATAGCAAAGGTCCTGAAAATTCAACCATCTCACCGTGATCTTGAACCTGTTCAAGAGCCAATTCAAGAGTCAATAAGATATATGTGGGACTGTGATTTATGGATATTATCCAAAAAATCTGACGTTTTGGACTCACCACATTCATTCTCTTGAGAGCCATTTCTTCTTTCAAGTAGAGCGCTAGTGAAAGGTCTTGCGAATGATAGCTATCAGAAGCGTCAAAGGAATCTGGACGTTCTAATTGACTCCAATGTTCAATCGCAGCAGCTCGCTTGGCATTTTCATAGGAATTCTGGCCCTTAGAATTGGCTCGGCTTCCATTTTCTTGCCTTTTCGACTCCAAGTTACTCCTCGTTGGTAATCCAATGGAAGGTTCAAATACGAGGCTTCTCGAACTAGACCTACTCCTTGATCTCACCGATGAATCATTAGACCGTCTTTTGGCCCACGAGAAGCCACTCGATCCAGACACCTGCAATGGACCTGAAAAGGGGACATCGGCTTCGGATGAATTCTTTGCACGAGATGCCTCTTCCATCACATCAATCGATGGCTTAGGCTGCTGCAGACTACATAGACTACTCGCTTTACTTCTTTGGGCACCTTGAGTTTGAACAGTTAGGTTCTGCATTTACGATAAATCGTTAGATGCTTATAAAGATTAGTTCCCATTAATGAGCAAACCAGAAAAACGATGCACACGAAAGAGAGAGAGAGAGAGACCTCCTCCGGTGCCAGTTTATTGATTCCATTTTGTTTTCTAGTTGGCTTTCTCGTGGTCTCTGGTCCACGTGCCCTTCCACTAGGTCTCTTCCTGGAATTTGTTGTACAAATTAGCTATTACTCAAGAAATTTCGAAGTACCACTAATCAATAACCAATAATTGCATACAATTACGATGAACTAGCTTTACATGCAATTTACAGTTCTCATTATATTTTAGGAATCGAGTCCTCACCTTCTAGCTTCCTCGCGATGTTTAGCATCAATTTCTTTGCATGGCGTATACTTGGGCAAGCTCGAAGGATCACAAGCATAAGGCTTTGTCTTGAAATACTAAACAAAGCAAAAAAGTAATGGTATTGGTTAGTTCATATTAAACGTAAAAACTCGAGAATAAATTATTCAAAAATGCAAGAGAAACAAGGAGTCGAACAACAATTCATACCTCAGATCCGAGTGCAGAAGTGGCATTCTGACGCTTATTTGGTTCCACGGTAAGAAAAGATTCGATCAACGAGACAGCTGTCTTAGGTAGATCTTTGAAGGTCTCCCAAAGGCAGCTTTCATAAGGATGTTGCGGTTTGAAAAGAGTTGCGTGAGGAAGTTTAGATTTCTTCCAGTAGTCATCTGGCGGAGATCCACAAAGTTTGAAAATTTTGTGCAGCTGTTCAACCTGTAGTACGAGAAAAGAGCATTAGTTCTTCGTGATTTTGGTTTTATCTCCCTCAGATTACCTCTACTCTTCAACAATATGCAACTTTTTCAATTAGCTTTTTGAGAAAGGAAATTATACCAAACAGCTATCAGCTATCAGCTAACAGCTAATTTACCAAACACCTTTCTACAATCAGCTAATGTTATCAACTAGTTATACCCTCTAATTAACTTAATCAGCTAACAGCCATTTACCAAACAGGGCCAAAGAAATAAGATTGCTGATTATGATGGTAATATCAGTATTAGAACTACTATGAGTAAAAATTACCTCGGTTCTCCCCTGAAGGATTGGTTTACCGGTAAGAAGTTCACCAAATACGCATCCAACACTCCAGATATCAACAGAAGCTCCATAATCTGTGGAACCTAACAAAAGCTCGGGAGGACGATACCATAATGTGACAACTCGACTGGTTAATGGATGCCTGTTGCCATGGTTATAGTAGTTAGCCAATCCAAAATCACCAATCTTTAAGATGCCATCATTGTTTACCAAAAGATTGGCTCCTTTGATATCTCGATGCATTATGCCACGAGAATGACAGTGCTCAAGTCCAGATAACAATTGTTTCATGTAGCATTTCACCTGCAAAACAAGTGAATTGGATTAAGTATAATGAGTTCAGTATAAGACTATGTTCGTAGAGTTATTACTGAAACTGAACCTGTGATTCACTGAACTTGACTTCGGGGCTAGACAAGAGTCCCGAAACATCATGTTCCATGTACTCGAACACGAGATATATGCTACAGGATAACCGTGAAGTAATTATCCCTTCCAATTTCATGATGTTTGGGTGGTCAAGCTTGCGAAGAATCATGATTTCTCTAGCCATAAATCGAACACTCTCTGGTTCAAAATTATCAAATCGCACCTTCTTTAGTGCAACTATCCTCCCACTGTCTAGATCACGAGCCCGGAATACAGTGCTATATGTACCTTGACCAATCTGCTCTTGAGGTCATAAAAGAAATCATTTTCATCAGCTAATTGTCAAAAAGATCCAAACAATACAAATTTGAAAAGAATAACTTGAACAAGTTGGTAACTTGAAGCGCTCTGCTCTCCAGAATATAACATTCTGACCATCATAGTTAAAAACATTATAGTCCTAAAACAAAAACATATCTTATTTCTTTGCTATTATCTCTTCACCATCCCCCACAGCGCAAAAGGAATACTTTTTTAATCCCAAAAACCAAGAAAATACTAATTCAAAGATGCCATAACAGTATTAGAGCACCAATTTCAATTTTCAAGAATCTGTTGTCTATGTGAAACAATCATAAGCTAGAAATGGGAGGAAAAGAAAGATGAAATACAAACATTCACAGAACAATTAACAAACATGAAATGTGCATGTAATTCTGAGCAAACCTTCTCGAGCTTCTCGAAAGACTCGGTTCTGAGTGGGACCCAGCCTTGAATAGCTTCTCCGGCAACCGCACTGAGCCAGGCCGGCCAACCGGCGGCCACTTGCTCGCCTTCCACATACTTGTGCAAATTCCCAAGCCTGAAGCTCACGGACTCGCTACCACACCCATTGGAACTCGTCCGCCCCGACTCGCCCAACTCGCTCCCCGCACTCAGCACCGAGTCGGCTCGCTTCTTCACCTTCTTCAAATCAAACTCCAGCCCCAGCCCCAATCCGCCGCTCGTGACCCGGCTACGACCCGACCCCACGTCATCCCGGAGAACTCCCGAATGGTCAACCGCCGGAGTCACCGACACCGCCTGCTTCGACGCCACACACCCCATGAGACGCGTCACATGCCCACCACCATTGTACCGTCTTCCGGACCAAACCAAGACCCACCCAGATCGAATTCCGCTAAATCTTGACTCGGGTCAAGCTCAGCTTTGAACCAAAGATCATAAAACTTTGCTATATATATATACACACACAAAATCAAGAACTGCTGCACAGTTCACAGCCACTCCACTTTCTGTCTGTGCCTTTTTCCCTGCGCCAATTGCGGAGGATGGAGGCCGATGGCGAGCTCTAGAGCTTAATGGGTTTCACAATCACAGTAGAAATTTACCGAAATTATCGGACAAAAGCAACAAGTGGCCTTCCAGTTTACGCCCAATCTTCTTTATTTTTATATAATATATAATATATATGCATGTATAGTCATATTTTTAATTTCTTTTTTCTCCTTTCTGGTGGCAGTGTGTAATCAGTTTATACACCTATGACCTTTACACATTACCATCTTATTCATAAAAAAAAAATAAATAAATAAATAAAAACTTCTATGCCCGAAAAATAATAGTCGAGTGAGCGAAGCATAATTCACGTGTCGAAATAAATAAATATTATGAGATTAATTAGCTCACCCTTTTTATAAATTATCTTCTTTGTGTGATACATAAAGGAACTTCCATTTCCAAAAGGTGTGGTCCAGTGGAGTGAAGCATAACGACTCATATATTCAAAGGTTACAAGTTTCATTATTGTCAACAACACCCTCATGTGTGTTTTGCAAGGGGGTTACGCTCCTCTTGATTTTACCTCGATACAAGTATTTTCCATGTAAGGATGTGAAATCAAGATGGAAAAGTAATATTACGTGTAGATATTTCAATATTTCCTTGTAATGTTCCATATATATATATATATATATATATATATATATATATATATATATTTAAAATCTAAATAAATCTAAGATTTTAATATAAATTACTAATAATGTACATCTATTTTTGCACATCGCGCATAGAAAATACTATGTTAAAAAGTATGGGATAAAGAATATAACTTTGGAGCGAATATTTCAACTTATAATAGAAAAAAAAATGTTAATTTCAAAAACCTATATATAATACGCCATGTAATTATACATATGCTTTGTAGTTCATATACAAATATATATTTTTTTGTTTTTTAATAAAAGTGTTGTGAATTAAATTTTGCCTTATAATAATATGAATATCTGTAGTCTGTACCCAGAAGTCCAAAAATATGAATATAAAAAAGATGAAGAAGAAAAAACAGTAAAAGACAAGTCTTTGATAGCCACTAAACAACTCTGACTTCTGGTGAGAATTTCACTGCAAAAAAAAAAACATAAATAAATTAAATGGCCAATGTTTTTGTTTGCTTATGTTATTTTGGGGGTGTATTGTTTTTGTTTTGGCCAGCAAAAAAGTTCAAACTCATTAATATTTTAGGGTTTTTGCATGTTTGTCTGTATTACTCTACAGAAATGTGGCAAGTAGGAATTAGGGCATACACAGACAAAACCTAAAAATGAATGAGGTTGACTAGTGACAACCTTTTGAAGTGGGGCCCGGTAGGGGCCTGCACAGCCAATGGTGTTGCGCGTGTGACGCGTGGCGAGTGTGAAATGAGGAGGAAAATTTTTTTGTTGGGTTAGTGTTGACTAATGAGTGTGTTGTTTGATTTTTAATAATGTGATTAGGTTTTGGTTCATACTCTTTTGCTTCTTTGGTGATCTGGCAGGGTATCCTATAATAAGATGAGATAATTTTAGGTTTTATTGTTGGAAAATGATAAGGTATTAGTTACGTATTTTGAGTTCGTTGATTAGTTAAGTTGTGCTGAATAATAGTGTGTACTATGCATATGATAATCAAATTAGATGCATTAACACTTTGGGTCTATGGTATTAAAGGCAAAAAAAATAAATTACAAAATAAGGAAAACATGTAATTAAAGAAAGGAAAAAAAAAAAAAAAAAAACAAACAAAAGTGAACCATTTAATGGGGATGGCTTTTCCTGTTCATCTTTTTCCACTAACTTGCACTTCTCCAACCTCTTTTTAAAGCCATTTTCACTTTACTTTTGGCTAAACAATCATTATTTTTAGGCTTGTAAATGAAGTAGCCATAGATCCATCCCATGCACTATGATGGGATCCTAGCACCAATGATGTGTTCTTTTTTTTTCTTCTTCTTCTCGAAACGATGAATATAATTTTACTGTTGTTAATTTTTACTGCAGATGAAACTTTGTCACTATATTTTTTAATCATTTTTTTATTCCCTTACTAATTACATTAGTAGGAGTGGTTGACAAATTAAAGTTTTTTTTTTTTAATTAATCACATTGTGATTAGAATGATTCTTTGTAATGTCTGAAAATTTTAGCTTTATAGATCTAAGAACAAAAACCATTGGCCTTTGTTTTCTAACTACAAGAAAATACAAAAAAAAAAAAAAAAAAAACAAAAACAAAAAAAAAAATCAAAAAATTTACTTAGGGATTTTATTGATTTATCGATAAAAAAAATGTTGATAAATTAAATATTTATAAACATTAGTAATTTATCTAAGTTTTTTTTTTTCTTTTGTTGATAATTTTTTTTTGAACGTCTATAAATTACTATTTGTAGTGGGTTGTTGATGACATGATTTCTATGTAGAATATTTCTTCCATTTGATATCAAATGTCGACATTTCTTTTAACTTAACAACAACAAAGAAACTCTTTTCAAATAATCAAGGAATCCGCTTCGCATCATTAGACTTATACTCACGCACAACGGCACCATTTTTATATTTTATTCTTTAGTTAGATTAAAAAAAAAAACAAATAACTCATTATAGAAGACGGTCATGTGATACGTTTTTAATATTTATATAATATATAATTTGGTTCAAATGCGGTGTTGATCTCATGCTATCGTGCGGATTCATTTGGATTATTGGATGTGCTTAGATCAACGGTTGAAAATCAATGAAGATGAAAAAAAAAATGCAGTAACATTTTGGTAATTTCCTGCACTAGGTATATTTCGGTGGTGCACTAAGTGCTGGTGGTGTGGTGCATTTATGAGTGCTCTGTGGTGCACTTTTGAGTGAACTATGGTGTACCACACAGTATTGGTTTGTGGTGTTAGTAATGTTATTATTTTTCATATTATTATTGTTATGCTATAGTCAATAATTGTGTGGTAGAGAGTTAGTCATCTGTGACTAGCCTAATAGATAGGAACCTTTACGTTAGCTTTTCCTATTGTATTGTAAACTGATCAATCTTCTGAACTGAATTGAATTAGACTTCCTCATCTGTGGTGCACTAATGGAAAAAAGACATGGTAGTATTTTGGTAATTTCCTACACCAAGTTTATTTATGTGGTGCATTAAGTGCTGGTATGCAGTGCACTTAAGAGTGATATGTGGTGCACCACAAAGTGCTAGCATGTGAAAGTGCGGGTCTGTGGTGCACATATCTAAGTGCACCATCAAGCATAGCTAAATGCATCAACCATTACAGGAAACATCTGAAGCCCCTGTTGTACTTTGGACTTTTAGGAGTTATTTGTGGTGTGAGTGGTCTATGGTGCACTTATGAGTCTCCTCTGGTGAACTTAGGAGTGAATGCGCGACAAAGCATATGTAAATTCACCAAGCTGCACAACCGCACAGGGAAGAGTCGGTTGCATATGAACCAGGCCTCTCTCTCTCTCTCTCTCTCTCTCTATATATATATATATATATATATATATATATATATATATATATATATATATATATATATATTCTTCAAGTGAACAAGAGCTCCCTAAAAAGAAATTAAAACAAAACAAAAAAAAAAATGTTAATACAGGATACTGTAATTTCATTCTATTCATGTCGTAATCGTATCATATTAGATGTCTTTAATGGACAACTAGGTCTATCCATATCAAACTATTTAGTTTCTAGAAAATACTTTAGATAAAATTTATTTATGAATTAATATAATGAACATAGTAAACGCATGAAATAATTCAAAGTTAGACGGGTCAATAACGATGTGGAAAAATGGGTTCATACCATATATATGTGTGTAAACAAATTTCAAGTGGACTTTGGAATATATATATATATATCATAAGCTAATTAATATATATAATGTAGGTGTACAACTTTGAAATAGCTGCGCATCCATGTTGAATGTTGATCACATGAAATAATGAAAGGCAAACATTTGACCAAGTCTCTTCCTCGTCCTTAATTGCCATCTTATTAATATGGAAATGAAATGTCATTGCTGGACCATGACTAATAAGGTTAGTTTCATATGTGCCAATATAGCCGAATTTATCAGGCAATTGGTTCGATAACTACAAAATTTAATGTTTAACTGTTAGTGGTTATTAGCGTTTTTGGTTTGAGTTGGCAGTCGTTATATCGTGGACCGCAGTGCACAAAATGGCGCCGTTTCTTTAAGTAAAAAAACTGCAGTTATATCAAAATGATAATGTAGTTGTGGTGAAATGAAACTACAGTTTATATAAAATGAAACTGAATAATATTTCACATATTTGAGTGTATATTGTACAATGAAGTTGTAATTATATCAAAATGATCATGCAGTTGTGTTTTAATAAAACTATAGTCTATATAAAATAAAATTAAATAACATTTTCACATATTTGAGTCTATAAATATCGAATGAAATTGTAGTTGTGTTGAACCGAAACCGCAGTGTATACAAAATGAAACTGAATAACAGAGTTACTTTTTGCGGAAGGGTGCGGAACAGCGGGAAACAAATGCCGTTTCTTTTCATTAAACAAAACGACGTCGTTTTGATGCGCAGTGCATAATTGATTATGCATTGCGGTGCACAATATAATTTGCCTTGATTTGGCCGGTAGGCTTTTCTCAAAGTAGGATTTTCGTTTAGTGAAGTCAAAAGTCTTAATATGGAGAAGGAAAAGCTGCTATTGGAGAGGCAGTGGCGAGACCGGGAGGAACAAAGAAGGGCTCGGGAAGAATCATGAGCCGAATCTAAGGATGCCCTAATTGCTGCTGCTCTGATACCATGTTACGAAAGTGAAGAGAGAGGCTTTCTAATGTGTTGTCGTATATTGTCTCAAACGGTATATAGAACAGAAAATACAAAGCCCTATAAATAGGTGCTAGAAGACTACGAATAGGAAACAAGGTTCCATATGTCTGGCTTACCTACCTAAAACCCTAAAGTGCCTAATATATAGAGATTCTGTATATCAAATATATATTCCATAACACTTGTAATAGAATCGATAGTACCCATCTGGGAGGTCAGAAATCAACTGAGTTACCTGCACAAGTTTAGCTTATTGGTTCAGTAGA